CATTCACCTGCAGTGCTGGACAGCAGGAACTACCACAACATGGACTTGGCACCTGTCATCAAACAGCTATTCTTTTCTTCATGGTGTCAAATCTGAGCTGAACTTCAGCAACAGTTATAATAAACAGAACATCTAGAAACATCTGAGAGGAAGAAAGAGTTTATCTGTGCTTCCAAACTCTCATTATAATTACATCCTCCCTCTGCCGGAGCAGGAAGTGAGGTTCAATGGGGGCCATTATGTGTGTGTGTGTGTGTGTGTGTGTGGGGGGGGGGGAATTGATGCACTGGCTCTTGATGTCATGTTTTTACTATTTGTCTCCCATGGAATCAGAGAGAGACTTTAAACTGGGAGCAAACAGGAGGACATCTGGACCTCTCTCTCCCTCTCTCTCCCCCCTCTCTCTCCTTCTCTCCCTCTCCCTTCCTCTGCCTCTCTCTCTCTCTCTGGGGGCCATCAATCACGGTTGCCGTGACGGCGGCCGGGCTGTAGGTGGTCATGCTGACGGCAGATGGCTCTTTATCGCTGGAGCCCTGGCCTCTCCATGACAACCGCAGAGAGCAGGAAGTGACACATCCAGCCGAGTGGAGAGAGATTCATCTGGACACACAGACACACACACACACACACACACACACACACACACACACACACACACACACACACACACACACACACACACACACACACACACACACACACACACACACACACACACACACACACACACACACACACACACACACACACACACACACACACACACACAGTAGAGTAACACAGATGAAAGGGTAAGAGGAAAAGGGAGACCGGCTGTCAAGGCATATTTAATTTATGATATTTAACTTTATTTAGTTTTATGTTCATTTGTCGCTGTAAAATTACTACTACAGTTTGAATGATCATTCACCTCTGGATTGTTGTCTCTGTTTAGATAACGGCTGTATTTTGGATCATATAAAAATCCCTCTGGTGCTTCACAGTCAGAGTACAGTCACTGTCTTCAGTGTGCCGTTCTGATGCTTCCAGTTTGGTGTTTTCGCCGCCGCCATCTTTGTTTTTGTCCTCTCTTTCTTGTAGAACAGGAAGTGACACAATATGGTGCTATAAATCTGAACGAAAAACCATACCTTTTTTAAAAGACCAAAATGTTGCAATAAACTTTCATGAATTACATTTTAATCACAAGGTAGCCCCGCCCCAATCACTCACTGCTGTTTTGTCTAATTTACTCTAAATGGGACCCTAAAGTCCTTAAACTCAGCACATTATTTCTGTCTCCTTATCTTTGATGATGCCTGATCACAATAGTGATATTTGGATTTTGGATTAAATCGTTTTTTCCCGAAAGTCAACCGGAGGTTATTGATTAATAAATCATTATCTTTCGAGTGGAACCAAACAGCATCTCTGCGTGCTTTCTGGTAATGTTTGTCTGACACCATCATGTGGCTTCAGAACGTTTAGAAGCCAGGATTAGCCACTTCTGAACACAGAAGAAGAACTACGCGCTTTATACAATGTAGAAATGGCATTCCTATCCATTCCTGGCCTTCTATAGATGACACTCCAAAAAACACTGGCTCCAACATTTCCCATTGTGCAACTAAAGCATTATGGGACATTTTCGATAGCCGGACTAGCTTGAGGAGTTCAGTGTAAAATGGGTGTTGTGTATTTTTCAGATGTAGATTTGAGGATGGATGGATAATCATCAACACAATGTACAGTATGTTGAACAATAAGCTGGATAATCTGAGCAGCTCCAGTGAAGAGAGGCCAGCAGAGCGGCCCCCACTGAAGCCCCCCCCCCCACAGAGGCCGGCTTTGTCCCCACATATCACTGTCACGCACATCATCTGCGTATATGAAGATCATTCATTAAACCATTCCAGCAAGCATTCATAGTGTATTCAGTGAACACTGACAGACAGTGGCTCTGACTAACTGAATGCACACTTGTAAACAACTGTGTAGGTCCATTAGACATCAATCACAATTATTTCTCCACAGCTTCAAAAATATTATAAGGAATTAATGTACATACAGTAATGAGTATCACCTGTGTCCCTGAGCTCTGATTATCTGACTGTTTCTGGTACCTCCATACACAGGCAAAGGACTGGAAAATAATCTGTTTTCTTTTTTATTCCTGGAAGGAGAAATGAGACTACATGCTGCGTGTGTGTGTGTGTGTGTGTGTGTGTGTGTGTGTGTGTGTGTGTGTGTGTGTTATGGGGCGGCTGGTGGATTTCACGTCCCACTTCCTCCAGCAACGCGATTAGGCCAGAAGTCTGACACACACACACACACACACACACACACACACACACACACACACACACACACACACACACACACACACACACCTCTCTATCTGCTAGAGTTAACACGCCCTGGGTCACACACATATCTTTGTTTTACTATCCATGTGAGGACATTCTATTGACTTCCATTCAGTTTACAGCCTGTCTCTGTTTAAAGGTGCTATCAAGCTAACTGACAAAACCACAGATAAAAGTTCATTCTAAAGAAACACAATGTTCTCCATCCTATGAGTGCCGTTCACATCAAAAAGCCATTGAAGTACATTTTACACAATACACGTCAACATGTATCAGATGCTGGTTGACGACTCTTTACCAACAAAAGACAAGGCAGCACATCGTAAGACTCTGAGTAGTTATTTTAACAAATAAAATGATACATGATGCCCTCATATTTTCTGCAGATGGATATTTACAGAAGAAAGAAAAGACATCTACCTCTTTTGATTGGTTGTTCTTCGTCAGATGACATGGTTCCTAGAGGACAAATGTAAATCAAAGCTGGTAGCAGCCACACAGTTTGGGGTTAGCGGCAGGTTGCCGGGTCTATGCCCAGGCTTAGCCGAGTGAAACAATACAGCAAGGGTCTGTGACACACTGTGCACGACTTATATGAGTGGGGGGGCTAAAGTATGGGGACGGGGTAACGTGTCAGCAATACAAAATTACCCAAAATGGCATTTTCATAACTTTTCATCGTCAAAGCATTTAGATGATCCTGACCAATTATAATGTCAAACTAAATCTGTAGGAGGAGTTTTTTAAAGTACGGCACCTGCAAAAGGTGAACAATTGCAGAAAACCAAACATTACATTCAAAATGTCCGACTACCTTCTGGTTTAGGTTAGGCCTGTACGTCTCCCCATGCAACATGTTAACCACATGTTGACGTCTAGGTGAGTGCTGAAGGAGGGGGCTTTGACCTTGAGAGCTGCTGGGCGTGTCTGCAGCAGTTTGCCACGGCCATGTCCGGCCCCCGTATCAAAGCTTAATTTTGACCTCTCCACCAGGTTTTTGAATATTGCAACCACCCCCAAAAACTTATAAAAAAAGAAATGATAATCCTGACAGTTTGAAAAAGTCCCCGCTCCAACTTTGTTGGTGCTTTGGCTCTCATTACTTGCACATGTTGACATTTTCTCTTGCCCCACCGTCGGGACAAAATGTGTATTATGTCCGTTTAAACTACTTTGATTATGAACTAAGAAGTGATGACGGATTCCTCTGATCCTCCTGTCTAACACCAGGGAGCATGTCATCATAATCAATGTTTATAGTGTTATTGATGTTTCTCACATAGTTTGATATTTACAGTCAAATCTGATGAACTGACAATGCATTCTCAGAAAGAATAATACCATTTGCAGGTAGCGCTGCACAACTGTGACAAAGTGAGTGATAAGGATTGTGGTGATCAGTGTGATTCTTTATGAGGATCTTTACCAAACAAAGTTGTTTTACCTCTGCAGGATATCATCTGTATATCTCTGCAGCTCAGCCTTTATTTATTCGCAGGTTGAGCCTCTGAACACTGTCGTGCTTCATGGGATTTGAATATTGCACTACAGTCCATATTACGTTTAGATTTGAACAACATTTTGAACCATTGTGCAGCCCTACTCTCTCAAGCTGGTGGTTTTGTGGAACAAGAAAAGCACAGCCAAAATCTTTGCACACACAGGGATCTGCCGTCAGTTTGTGTTTTGTCAGCAGCTCCAGTGGGAGAGAGGCCATTTCTGACAGCTGGCTGGAGCACATGCACACACACACATGCACACGAACACACACACGCACACCAATGTTATTAATGTCCTTCCTGCCATTCCCTCCACATACACTATTGTTAAAATGTCTAAAACTAAAGTGCTAAACATTTCTGACTCCTCCAGCTGCTCACATGTTCTGTTTTAGGTGGTTAATAAATGGCCTTTAAAGCCTGTTTGACATGTAATGGCCCTTTTACACTGCTTTAAGACGTTGTATGGACGGATACATATTGATTAGTGCAGATTTCATTACAAAAAGGTTATAGGAAATAGTCCTCAGCCTAATGAATGAAGCTGGTCTCCAGCACTAAACTGCGCTCAGAGCCTCTGACAACATGCTCCAGAGCAGGGGTTCCCAACCTTTTTTCCCCACAAGCCCCCCCAAATGACTCCTGTTGGAAGTTGCAAATAGTACTTGAGTAAATGTACTTGGTAACATTCCACCTCTGCATATAATGTAGGGTTCAGATGCTTCATAAAATCATAGGAAATGCAGATGATGCACAATGGATTGTACTCAAGTTATGTTTGCTCAGTTGCTGTAGAACACACACACACACACACACACACACACACACACACACTAAAAGCATCTAACAAGTGACATGTAATGTAAAGATATTGTGAGAAATTAAAGTAGCAAACTACAACACAAATGGAATGATGAAAGAAAGGTCCAGAACACGGGCTGCTTCCCATGTTACAACAGGTCAAATAACAATAGACTTGATTTGAGTTTTGATCTACAAGTTCACAGATGCAACAAACTAGTTTTTCTTTATTTAGTACAGCTATGTTTAAACCTTTAGCGGTGTTATCAAATATGTTTTGCGGCTCCAGACAAACTTCATATTGCGTCAGAGGGGCAGATGAACAGTGAACCAAATAATGAGCGTCACACAGAGGTTTGGTTTCCTAGGCGAATATCATGATTAACTTTTATTAAAAGCATCATAGCTACAATTCATCATACATGATGTCTCCAAAAAACAAAAAACACAAAAGACAAACACCAAAAGAGAGAAAAAAACATTTACATGGTATGTCTGTAAACTTCAAGGCTAGATAAGAATTTTGAGGTAATGCTCTTCAGCTTGCTGGCTAAAAGTAACAAAAAGTCCATTTTTCAAGAAAAGTAGCTAAGTAATAAAGGTACCTGATTATTTTAACTCTTTAACACCAGTGCATCAACAGGAACAGAGTGAGACAAAATTGATTGCAGTACGTATTTGTCATCATTTACAGTTTAGTTTTTCTATTCATACGACACTTGTGGTTATTCATATAGTGTGTGTTTGTGTGTGTGTTGGGAGAGTGATGTTGGAACATTCAAAAGCTGCCTTGGTTATTGCTGTCTCAGCATTAGACCGAACAGGAAGTGGACCCGGGCTCTTCCTGTCTGTCTGCTGGGCTGGCTGTGAGAGCAAATGTTCAGATGACCACAGTGTGTTTGAATGCATCATCAAATATGTGAACCACTCGCGTTGCTTGATTTATCTCCGACACTTGAACTGGCCTTGGGGAAATGGAAACAAATCAAGCACCTCCTGCATTTATAAAGTATTTAAACTGAGCTCAACTTCATAAAGAAACGTGTGGATCTCCAACTCAGTGGAGAATGTGTCAGTCCTGTAAGGCCAGGTCTGGTGTCAGTGTGTGTGACTACAGAAAGTCTCCAAGACAAGGTCACTAGGGAGCAGCACTTTGAATCTACCGGGAAATGTAGGAACAAAAAAAAAAAACTAAAACAAAAAGGTTTTAATGTGGCAGCGACCGGGAGAATTCAACCATGTGCCCCCTTAAAGAAGAAACCTGAAACATCACATCCCTGCGGGGGCCGCCGCCCCCCCCCGTCCATTCACAGAGTCCTCGTGAGGCTGCCTCCCACCGAGAGACAGGAAGAGGAGCGGCGGTGGAAAGACTGAGACTGACAGTGTGGGACTGGTAACAGTATTGGTTCAGTGTGACGCACACACACACAGGAAAACAGCTGTGGGGGTAGTGTGTGTGTGAGTGAGGCTTATGATCAGTATGTCAGTGTGTGAGACTGAGTTTAGGCCAGTCTGGTTTCTCTGCCTCCTCAGAGTCTACCTGGTCCGATATGTGAGAACTTAAAACTCTGCTCTGAAACAGAACAGTTCCAACTCCATTACCCACAATTCCTCTCGCAGCAGCGTTGTCAGTCAGACGTAATGCCGTTTTTTTTGCGATGTGAAGCGATGCTGCCGACAACAACTTAACAGTCCAGGCGTTAAAGGAAGCAAAACGACCAGTGAAGTCTGAGAGCAGCAGCGACACTAATATAATCATTCATAATCATAGCTCTGCTGGAACATGGGAAGTCTGAGGGCAGAGAAGGGTCTGAAGGGTTTTCCCTGATGATCCATCAGAGAGGTTTAACTTAACACACACACACACACCCCACTCTGACGCATAGTCATACACCTGGTCAAAATAATAACAGTGAGAAATCATCAACAACAATGTAAAGAAAAAACAGGATTCATAACAGTTTGGATATTTCTGGTGGAGGCGTGTAAACGTGGCAGGGGGAGGGGGGGGGGGGTTCACTGTGCTATTCAGTCACTGTTGTCCTTCAGTGGAGACGCTCCTGCCGCCTCCCCCACCTCCTCCTCCTCCTCTTCCTCCTCCTCCTCCTCCCCCATCCCTACATCCTCCAGCGCTGAATCTTCTCCTCTCAGCTCCTCCTCCGCTCCGTCTTTCTCCTCAGCCAAGTCACTGTCTTCCCCCTCCTCCTCCTCCTCCTCCTCTGCAGCAGCTTTAAGCCCCCCCTTCCTCTCCTGGTTACTGGGGAGGGTTGTGGTCAGGGCGTTGCCCCCCAGAGCTCCGGCCATGGCGCTCTGCAGCTCGGCCAGGGTGGAGGCGGAGGGGAAGCCCGGTAGGCTGAGCCCCCCCAGGCCTGGAGGCAGGAACATGGAGGGGTAGAGCAGGCCGGGGGCCATGGTGGACAGCAGGAAGGGGTTGAAGGCCAGAGAGCTGGCCGACATGCCCGCTGCAGCCAGCAAGGCGGCGGCGTCCCCATTGATGGAGGCCACTGACGAGTCAGCAGCGAGGGTCTGAGCAGTGACATCACTTCCTGCCTGCTCCCGCCTCCTCCTCTTCCTCGCCTTCTTCGCGGCTCTCTCACTATTAGCCTCCACCTCCTCCACTGCCTCCTCCTCGTCATAGTCTTCCCCCTCTCCGTCCCCCCCCTCACCCTGCATGGTTCCGTTGCTGTTCTGGGACGTCGCAGCGCGGGGGCTGGATGCAGCGGCGACAGCTGCCACCGTGGCCAGGTTCCCGCCAAACAGCCCGCCCAGGCTGAACATGTTAGGGAGGGCGGCCATGTTGGGCAGGCCCCCCATCCCGGGCAGCATGAGGGGCAGCATGGAGGCGGCGGCGCTGGCAGCCGCCTGCTTGGGGTCCGAGGGGTGGGGGAAGCCCATCAGCCCGGCAGCCAGCTGAAGAGACTGCAGGCTCTGCAGGGAGGACAGGTCCATGCCCCCAAACAGACTGCTCAGCAGCAGAGGGTTGATGCCTCCTGCACACACACACACAGTTTCAGAGGAACATCTACAACCCTTCAGAACATTCTATATGTACTCCTGTATTTATTGGTCACTTTCTCTGCAACATTTAGCTTATTGTATTTATTTGACTTCTCCTGCACTACTTGCACATTGGTTTATTCTACTCTGTTTCTTCTTGAATAGTCTTATAGTGTGAGTGTGTGAGTGGTGTGAGTGTGTGTGAGTGTGAGAGTGGTGTGAGTGTTGTGAGTGTGTGAGTGTGGAGTGTGTGAGAGTGTGTGAGAGTTGTGAGTTTGTGAGTGTGAGTTGTGGTGTGTGAGTGTGTATTGAGTGTGTGATGAGTGTGTTGAGTGTGTGATGAGTGTGTGTGTGTGTGTGTGTGTGCGTGGTGCGTTGTGAGTGCTGTGTGAGTGTGTAGCGTGTGAGCGTGTGCGCGTGTGCCGTGGAGTGTGGGGATTGCGTGTGTGCGTGTGCGCGTGTGCTGCGCGTGTGCGTGTGCGCGTGTGTGCGTGTGTGCGTGTGTGTGCGTGTCGTGTGTGCGTGTGTGCTGTGTGCGTGTGTGTGTGTGGTAGTGTGTGGCTGTGTGAGTGTGTGCGTGGTGTGAGTGTGCGCCAGTGTGCGCAGTGTGTGGCGTGTGTGCGTGTGTGCGTGCAGTGGTGTGCGTGAGTGTGTGTGTGCGTGTGGTGCGTGTGCGTGTGTGCGTAGTCGTGAAGTGAGTGTGTGAGTGTGTGGCGCGTGGTCGGAGCGTGTGTGCAGTGTGGTGCGCGTAGTGCGCGTGTGTGCGTGCTGACGTGTGTGCGTGTGGTGCGTTGTGCTGAGCGTGGTGAGAGTGTGCAGAGTGGTGCGCGTGTGCCGCCGTGGTGTGCGTGTGTGAGTGTGTGAGTGGTGAGTGTGAGGTGTGTGGAGTGTGTGAGTGTCGTGAGTGTAGTGAGTGTGTGCGTGTGTGCGTGTGTGCCGTGTGTGTGTGTGGTGTGTGTGAGTGCGATATGTTCGTGTGTGTGTGTGTGGTGTGTGAGTGTGGTGAAGTGGTGTGCGTGTGTGAGTGGTTGAGTGGTGGTGAGTTGTGTGAGTGCGTGTGAGTGTGTGTGAGTGTGTGAGTTGTGTGAGTGTGAGTGTGAGTGTACCTGCAGATGAAGCAGCAGACAGCAGAGAGACCTGTGCAGCCTGAGCTGCAGCCGCAGCCTGAGCGGCTGCAGCTGCCTTGGCGATCTCAGATTTGGGTCTTCTTCCTCTGCGGCGGACGCCCTCCTCTCTGACCACAGGGCCGGTCAGGAGACGGTCAAACATGGCTTCTGGGAGGAAACCCTGCAGGGAGGAGGACCTCAGGTTAGAAAACAAACTACTCGCATAGAAAGTGAGAGGACTGGGCTCAGAGGGCTTACAGGAAACAGAGATGGTGTAACAGAGACTTCTTATAAACAGTTAGTCATTATTGACAGGTTTTATCTCTCTTACTAACCGACTGTTTCACGATGTCTGTCCAATCAGGGGCGATGGAATACTCTGTGTTCTCCAGTAACCATCGGGGAAGCTCCTTCATTGGTGGAGCCATGGCCCCGCCCATCTGAGGAAGAGGAAGATTAAATGAGTTTACCTTGGAAAATCAATTCAGTTTCAACATGTAGGCAGTGGTGCTCAGGTATTCACTGCACCTTGCGTCCGTTGCGTCTGTTCACCACAGGCACCCTCTCCTCTCCAGTCAGGGTGTTGATGTCGATCTTGTTTGGGTTTCGACAGCGATGGCGTTTCTGCTTGGGCTTAGAAAACTGAGACAGCAGTACATCCTCGCTCTTCTGTTGTGGGAAGACACAAATACAAAGGTGTGAATAACTAGAGGCTGAGAAAGGCAGGCAAGAAAACAACAGATATGATGCTTCTGGTTACACTAAGAAAGGATTTAAGGTGAAGAAGATGGATAAATGTAAAGAGGGGCCGTACTGGTGTGAAAGCAGCCATGTCCATGGTGTAGGTGGGGTGCTGCCTCAGCCACTCCCCCAGCTCTTTGTTGGAGACGGCAGCCTCCTCCTCCTCCATACTGCCAGAGGCCAGAGACCTGGCACTGGGGCTCTGCTCTGGGACGGGGAGGGGTCTGTGGGCACGGGCAGCATCCTGAAGCCCCTCCACACCTGAAGCCTTCGTCCCATCACCATCATCCTGACGGAGAGCAGGGGAGAAGGAACATTGACAAACTGTTGTGCAACACTGAAATCTGTCCTGCTTGTTAAACACACTGCTTACCCCTCCTGCTCTCTTGTTGCCCATGAACAGCAGCTCCAGGCCTTCAACATTTTTCCTGCGGCCCCGCCTCCTCCTCATGATTGGCAGGTCAGCCTCCAGTGAACCATTGGCTCTGTGCGCAGAGGGCGGGGCTTGCAGCAGCAACTCCATCTGGGCTTTGAGGGAGGGGCTTGTCGCCAGGGCGCTGGGAAAGCCGGCCAATGAGGGAGCAGCCTTATGATGATGGTGCATACCCTGAACAACACATCACATCAGTTTTAGTTTGACTACAGTATTAGTTCTTTGTCGTTCTGCATGATATGAATGAACGATGGCTGCACCTTGGTGAGGTCTATGGCCTGGCTCTGGGTGTCCGTGGCAGAGTGGCTCTCTCTCAGCTGAGCCACCATCTCCATCAGGTTACGTCTCTTAGTGGCTCGCTCCGCCTCGATCTCGATCTTCCTCCTCCTCCTCCTCCTCTGGCGAGGCAGGGTCAGAGCGTCCTCCTACAACATCAGGGGAAAGTTAAACTGCATCTGTCTAACGGCAGGAGTCACAGTACTGGGAGCAACTAGCACAGATCAGGATAGCGCAGCATTAGGTTTAAGTTTGTAACTGATCCTCAAACTCTATAATTAATATGTTATTACTTACACACTTAAAATAAATAAAATCCTGCTGTAATATGGCCCTCCAAAGTGTTTATTTCCCAGATAGTCTACATATTTTTATAGTTCACCGTCAACATATTTTAGTTCTATTTTGAGATGTTTATAATTTTGTGTTTGTATATTTTCTGCTTTTATTTTCACATGATGTGCAATGCCTTGCATAAAATATTCCAAAATGGGGATCAATAATGTAAATGTTATCTTATCAAGCTTAAAAGTGACAAGTTATAAACAAGGTTTTGAATATATATATTTTTCTGAATAAACCGATGTGAGTGGCACTCACATGAAACTGTGGCGACAGTGTTTTGTCCTCGCTCCCGCTGTACGGTGTGTGGATGCCGGCCATGGTGAGCTCGGCGAGGCTCCGCCTCTGCAGCGGGCTCTCGGTCACTGTGGCGGCGGCCGCTGTTGGGAGGGCGGAGCTCTGCCCTGGCAACAGGTTGCCGGGGAAGTCGAAGATGTGGCGTCTGTTGACAGGCCACTTGCCCTTCAGGACAGTCTCACAGATGTTATCCATCCTGTTGATCATCAGTCGGTCCTGGGGGGGCAGAGAGCTGATTAGAGCTGGGTTTTGTTTATAAAGTAACAGTATACCATGTTGCATTATCTTGAAGTCTACAAATGGTTTATTAGTTCTGGATACAAGCGAACACATGCAGTTATGGTCTGAAGCTGTAATATGACTCTGTAGGAAAAGCTCTAGTGCTGGATATGAACACAGTGCAGTAATACTATAGGCTTATATTGCACTTATATCATTTAAGCTAATGCCAGTGGCTTCAATATTGCCATATCTACAATCACTGTTGAGCTACTCTCTGGAACTCAGCACTCACTGAACAGATGTTCCACATAAAACCCTCAGAGGGTATAATCTTCCTGTTTCTGGGAGTATTTGTTTCTATAATGGATCAATCTGCTTCTGATTGTTTCAGTCTATAAAATACCAGAGTTGTTGATGACTGAAATCACTAATCCATAACGCTGTGATGTAATCTGAAACATGTGCAGGGTCTGTTTGATTTCATTGACAGGAGCTGAGCAGCCATTAATAAAACGGCAGAAACAACTAGAGTTATCAAATGATGACAGTATGATAATCATGCAGCCTTTTTTGGACTGTTCTTTATTTGTCTGGCTATAATTGGACTCACCTTGGGCCAGAATGAGAAGGCGTAGGCTCGCTCCTGTAAGGCGTGCAGTGCTGTGGTCTCCGGCAGGTCGTCGGGGCAGAAGCCATCTCTGGTTTCGTTCTGGGCAGACGTGCTCAGAGAGGCAATGCTCTCCTCATCAAAGTTCTTCTGCTCTGATGCAGCGCTCGCTGTGATGACAGAGGGAAAGTTAGGCTGCCACTCTAAATTAAAAAAAGGGTTTTCAAAACATATGAAGGGGAGAGAACGACAACCCCAATGGGATAATCATAAACAAGAGTACAGGTAAGTAAGTGTGTTAGAGCGACATGTAGAACTGTCATCATCCCTGTGATAAACATGACAAACAATGAACACACTGCCTACCTCCAGCTAATGTCAGAGAAATACATGTTCCAGTACCTTCAGCCTGAGAGGATTTCTCTGATTTGTCATCTTCATCCATCCTCTCTTCCTCCTCGTCCTCTGGGCTTTTCTCTGTGTCAGCTGACTTTGGAGATTTAGGAGACTCTGGGTTCACCTCAGTCTCCTCTTTCTCTGCAGGTTTGTGCTCGGGTTGTGCTTTAGGAGAGGGGGGGGGGTGTTCTGTGAGCTCAGCGGTGGGAGAGTCAGCAGGAGTCAGACTCTTCTTCTCTTCTGGTACCTCCTCTTCTTCGTCCTCTGCTAGTTTGGAACTCTCCTCTCCCTCTGCACTGGGCTCCTCTTTCAGCTCTTCCTGCTCCTCTTCTTCTACTTTGGGCTGGGACTTCTCCTCCTCTTTGGGCGACGCAGCAATGTCCTCTTTCCCTTCTCTGACCTCTGCCTCATTTTCCTTCTGCTCCTCAGGAGTTTCACTCTTCCTACATGGAATGTTGTTAGCGTCTCCTTGCTCCGTTTCCATTTTGACCTCTGTCTTCACCTCCTTCCCTTCTTCTTCTTCCTCCTCCTCCTCCTCTTCTTTAGCTGCATTCATAGCAATCGTCGCAGCTGCTGCGGCGCTGGCCAGCTCTTCAGAGGTGAGGAGAGGTCCGGTAGTGTCCGGTGCTCCCATCCCCGCTTTGGTGGTCTCTCCCTTGACTCCCCCTCTCTGGCTGGTGGAACGCTGGTGAGCATCCAGGAAGGCCAAGGTGGGGTCGTTTAGAATGTGATAATCTGTGCGACTGACTCCGTGCTTAGAGGCCCCCAGGATGAGGTCGTGGTCATGGCGGCCGCTCTCCCACCACTCCGGGAGGTCAGGGGAGGACTGGCAGAGCTTGAGGCGCTCAGAGAGCAGCGGGTGGGGGAGGACCTGTTCCCGGATGCGCCGCAGCAGCTCGATGCGGTACAGGGTGCGGGAGGCGCGCTCCTCTGTGATCGGGTCGATGATCAGGGTGGGGTCTGGGAGTTCTGAGGAGGTAAAATACAGAATCATACATGTTAGACAATTTTACCCTAGTACACAAACAAACTTCATCAACCACACAGCTGTTATTTAGAGGTGAAATACATTTGTTTCTGTGTCACAGTAACTTACGCGCTTCACTCTTGTTCTGCATTCTGCAGACCCGCTTACACATGGCAATGAACGAGTAGTAATATTTCTCCAAGCTCTCATCTGTTTTCTTGTCCAGTCGAGCAAAGGCCCTGAACTGAGCCCAGTCAAATTTCTGACGCTGAGTGTCAAAGACGACCCCGAAGGTGGACACCACACGGTAGAAATCTGCCTCCTCACGACGAGTCCATCTGATGGAGAAAACGTGTGAGCAAAGGTCCATTTACAAAATAAATATGTTTGTTGGTACAGTTCTTTAACACCATTCCTGTACAAGCAACGTTAAATGAGCCCTACCTTTGTCTCCTCTCCTTGTAGTACATGGCTCCATCAGGCATCAGGGAGCTGGCAGTCATCACCGGTGACGCCTCTGCCATGAACTGCCCACCTTTGGCAAAGTAGGCACTTCCTTTAGCCATATACGGGCTTCCTTCCGTCATGAACACCCCTGCTCCATCTTGGATATAGGCTGCCCCCCCTCCTCCTGTGTCGGTAACCATGCCGATGGCAGGCAGGAAGTCCCTGCGCCGCCGCCTGCGCCCGTCGGGCCGGTTGACAGCCTCCTGGCGGAGCTGCTCCCTGCGGTTGGAGCGCTGGTAGGCCGTGATGAGGCGGCGCAGACGGGCAGTCAGAGCCGAGGCGGCCGGCCAATAGAGTCGCTCGTTGGAGCCCGAAGCTCCGCCCAGAGCAGATCCACTTTGACCATTCTCACCTGATTTAGCTGCATGAGAGAAGAGGGGAACACAGTTAGGAACCACACTTTCCCCTTTCCCACCAAAGCAGTTCCAGGTTCAGATTGAACATAGTAAAAAACTGTAAATTATAGTGTCCGTCCAAAAATTCTTTTTTACTTATAGTGAAAACTACCCTTGGATGATGGTAAGGTAGACTAAAAGCTTTAGGAATCCAAAGTACAACATATAATAAGTACCCTGTATCAAGATTGATGCAAAACAAGTGACATTTGACCTTTTTAGAGAGGTTTAGCAAACATAACTCCACCTATGAGGTGATTTGGGTGGAAATGGGGGTTTTACCGTTTCTCTGGAACCCATTGGTCGATTTTGGTGATTGACATCTCTTTCTGACCGTTAGAGCCAATAGAATCGAAGGGGAATTTCCCCACACACACGGTAAAAACAAAAAGTGGGGGCTTCGCGCATGCAGTTTTACATCAGAGCGAACCTACACTCTAGCTCTGACATCTGGAAATGGAAAAGCAGGTTTATTGCTTATGGATTATCAGAAATCATTTCAAAGGGACACAGACACATTGGATTAACCTATGGATTAACTTCAGCAGCGTTTTTATCGTTTTAATGCCATTGAAGACCACTTTTGACTAGACAACGACACAGGTAAGCCATGTTAGCGTTTTTAGCTACCTAGCGTCACATGTTTTGATGTCCGTTTTTGTTTATGAAGTCGCGAGTTCTCATATAGTGATAATGTATGTACCCATCGATTCTGTGTCATCTCACGATCAGATCGATGGGTTGGATGTGCAGAAAGGATAAATAAGGGTTTTATGAGTGAGTTTCGGTGCAGTAATCTGTTAGCATTTTTCGCTCGTTGCTAATTCGGAGGCTCAGCGTTAGCATTGTGGGTTTAAAAAAAAAAAAAAAAAAAGATCAGTTAGATGAGTTTATTCCCGTTACATGGATATAAAACATTCATAGTTTATTAAATATTAAGATGCCCTCAGACACTGTTTCCTCGGATGACGCGTTTTTTCCCCCGATATCGGGGGGCAGGGCTTAAGAGGTTAGCTGTTATTTCCCATTTCTAAGACCAGCCTCATACGTTTTCCCGTTATTTTTTTATTATCGCAGCCATTGGGTGGAATCAGTACATCTACAGCGATGCTAACATCACCTGTCTAATGCCAGAGACACTTTAATAACGGCGCTGTGATGCCAAACAGTGAAAACAGTGATATTATTCCATCACTTCTTATACATTTTAGGCTTCATTGTTAAGCACGCAGCAAAGAGCCTGTGTTTTATGTGCTATGACGGAAAAGGCATACAAAACAACATCTTTGTTCTAAAACACACTGAGGATGTGAATGGGTTGGTGAGATCTTGCATGTTTTACAGGGCGCTTTGGGACTGTGTTAAAAGAAGATTTCACAGTTTGCTTTACTCAAGAGCCTTCTAAACTTCTGCTTATAGAAAGCTTAAATGATTCTGCTGTTAGAACAGCTGTTACCGTCCCTGCCTCTGGGTGTACTCAAAGCTTACCTTCAGCGTCCCCTTCCACAGTGTCATCCAGGGGAGAGTTGGTGAAGTCATCCATGTCATCTTTAAAAGGCATACGCAGGGGCTTGTACTCAGGATCCTCATCCTCACTGTAGAGACAAGAGAATGGCTCATTTTAACTTCCAATATAACACAAAGAAGAGGAAAGGGAATATTGGAATTAGTTGAAAAATTAAGATATAAATCAAAATAAGGATAAAGTTTAACTTAAGATTTTTCCAATCACCATTAAGGTATTTGGTGAAATTAAATCCCTGACATTTATATTTCAAAGTAATTAAGTAAAGAAACTGATAAAACCTTCATATAAGCTAGCAGCTGTGTAAACTGCTGTTAAAATGTGACAAATCACAGAGATGGAAGAATAAAAGCAGGGCTGAGTAAAGGCTGCTCTCTTACCCATCCACACCATCTGTCATCATGTCAGAGCTCCTCTGCTCCGCTGCGATGGCCTTGGCATCCGGCATGCCCACCCTCTCCAAGAAACACAGGGCGGCGTCCGCTCGCATCGAGTTGTACTTCTCATAGCCTGAAGAGCAAGAGGAGAAGATGAACACAGAAGCGTGGAATCCATGTTCCAAATTCGTTGTATTTTTTGTATAATGACAATAAAAGGCTTTAACTTGAACATGTGTGGAGGTGCAGGGGGCTTTAATCAGTAACCAGGCAGGAAATCAGGGAGACTCAAAACAGTTACAGGTCAACACACACACACACAGGCAGGCAAACTCCTAGAGAGAAGGCTGGGAAAAACTTGGGCTTTCTAGCTCACTCCTAGACAGACATGATGCTACAGTTCAACACACACTATATCATGCACATACACACACAGCATCCAATATTAAATGAAGGAGGAGACAAAAACAGCAGCAGAAGGGCAGACCCCAGGAGCCAGCTGCTGACAAGACAGACATCCCGCCAGTGTGTGTGTGTGTGTGTGTGTGTGTGTGTACACACGAGCCTACATTCTGTACATGCGTGTGCTTATCCAAGTAAGCCTGCAGGTGCTCATTTGTGTCAGAGAGAGGGAGAGAGAAGAAAGTGGAAAAAGTGTGTGTGTGGCATGGCGTGTGTGAAAGTGAGCTAGTGGGTGTGAGGAACTGTGTGTGTGTTTGTCCGTTAGGGGCATTCGAGCAGAACAGATTAGAATGTGCAGATCCTACTGAGACACAGTGAAGGAGAGAAGGAGGAGGGAGGAGGGAGGAGGGAGGGGGGAGAGGAACAATTTGAAGGAATGAGGAACATCTGAAGAGCAGGTGAGAGGGAGGGAAAAAAGGGGAGGGGAAAAAGGAGAGAGGAAAGAGTGCATCAAAACAGAAGCCTTCCTCCCTTCACTCCGTCCTTATTCCCCTCCCTTATTCCACACATACAACTCATCGGGGCCTTTACAGGGCTGACACACACACACTTTTCTGTGTGTGTGTGTCAGCCCTCCTCCACCCAAAGGACCTCCCTAGTGAATAAGGATTATGATTAACTATGGGTGAACCCCCTTTTGTATTACTGTGCGTGTCCTAATTGAATCATAGAGGGTGGCAATGATGGAACAATTATGACAATTATGGCAAAATAATATGAATGAGGGTCTCAAGCCACAACTTACAGACACTGGGAGTCACATTTATGGGGGGGGGGGCTGATACAAGTTAGCAGGTTAACAGTAAACGGAGATAAATATATGTTATTTTAACTTTAGAAAGAGCTTTGTTTTCATGCTTTGTATCATTTACACCTGTAACAAACTGCAAAGCGCGCACACATACACACACACGCAGCTCATGGTTAGACCAGCCATCAATCACACTGACGATAACACACTGAGCCTGCCAGCTGCGTGTTGCTATCGCCATAGCAACACCAATCAACCAGTGGCAGCAGAAGTGGGTGGGATGTGTTTATGTGTGTTTGTGCCCTCGCCCAGTTTGAATGATGATGCTTGCGTGATGTTGACTGGGTTGGAAGCCACTGAGAGTGTGTGTGTGTGTGTCGACATGTTATCTGTGGGTGTGTGATGTTCATTTTGTATTCGCCATGTATGGCTGCCGTTGGGAGACGTGGATGTGTACATACAGGATGTGGTTGTGTGTGTTTCTCACCGTGTTTGAAGACACCGAGCAGCAGGGATCTGTCGGCCTCGCTGTCCCACCAGTCAGCCGGGACCTCGGCGTGGAACGGCTGCGGAATCCAGATATCCAGCTCACTGTGGCACAAACACACACATCACTGATACCAGAACTAAACTGTTGGTCCATGTTCAATCTGCTTTGGTGCGCCATTTTTAACCAAAGAGGGAAAAAGAAAAAAGGGAAGGGCTGAAATAAGATTATGAGTCATTTGTGATGTAATCAGATTGTAAAAGCTGTCAGCTGCAGATAAAAACGAATACCCAAAATGTTCATGTGCACACAGAGTTATCTGGTTGCATTCTACTTATGGTTTTCTTTAGTTCACATGTTCAACTGCACATTCGATACTCTCAAAGTATGTCCAGGTTCTGAATAAATCAACACATTTAAATGAGCAGTCAATTATATAAAATGCATGAAAAATGATTGATCTAAACAGGAACGACTGATTTCTGCGGTCTGGAAATGACTATAATGTTCATCCAGATCTTTACAAAAGCAGTGGTCATGCATTACTTCACTTCAAATATGACCATTACTAATATGATTTTATTTGTATCAACCATTTCTATTAAAGAATTGTAAACTGAAATATTGAAAAGATGATTTGAACATCATTTGTTTCCAGGTGTTAGATGGTAAATGAGAAGTGATGGAGCTGTGGGAAGTCTGATCACTTTTTGCCTCAGTGTTGGCTCTTAAAACATCAAGTTTGAAAATGAAGAGAGGGAATTGGACAGAACAGTCTGTAGCCCAGTGCTCATCTGTTTGTGCTCCATGCTAAATGAGCTGTTGCTAGCATATATGTATGGCTCTCGTCTATCCACTTTAGTCCTTTTTAAAAACTGTCCATTGTGAGTCAACAATGTCATGTGTGCAATGCTACATCAGCGGAGTACTCCTTTAAGTGCTCCTATTTTGACATCCTGTTCTCTTCACAGCCTTCCAGTTAAGATGCTACCAATATTCTCCCCATGGTCTTAATTGTTCTCCATTTCATTGATATAACCTTGAGAGAAATATATGGAGACCCCTGACGCAGTACCTAAACTTTATGCTTACAAGCGTTTTTTTTAATAATTACTAGAGTCCAATTATTATTTGTTGAACTCTTTATGCATGTAAATGACAAACCTAGAATAGTTATAATGAGCAAGGTTTTGCAGGCTGGATGAAATGTGGTTGCACCAAAAAACAATTCTCCATTATGGAGTGGAGGAAAAGTGGTGTGTTTCCACCAAGTTGTGAAAAGAACAGGCACAATGCACAATGGAAGCAGAAAGACAGAGGGTGACAGGAGGAGGGGAGAAACCAGGGAAACGCTCCCTTATCTCTGCAAACAGCAGCATGGCAACACACACACACACACACACGCCTGGGCCAAGACTGGCAGGCTAAATCCCCCTGGCATATGTTGGCACGATGGTACCCCGTATGCTCACGTCTGGCATGCGCTGACACACACACACACACACATACATACACAGGGGTCTGTCACAGTAGCCACCGAGAGGGAGGTGGAAGGGAGAGATGGGGAGGGAGTGGGAGAGATCAACATGAAGTGCACGTGCTCCACATTATGAATGCAATCACATCTGGGTGAAAGGGTGATGAGCGGGGGATGGGAGATGATGAGAGACTGAAGTGGACTGCAGAGAGGGACAGACAGATGGCAGGAGAAGTGTGACGGAGGGAAGATGGAGGGAGCAGCGAAGGAGTTGTCAGAACGAGGTGAAGAAAACCGTAGAGTTAACCTTCACATCTACAACCTTGCACTGCAAAGCCTCGTGCAAAATGCTAATAAGCAGTAGCTTGTCAAAATGTGAGGAAAAAAAACTGGGTCAAAGCTGGTAAAAAGCTAATTTCCCCCAGATAAGGAAGTGTGTTGCATCTGTCAGAATAGAAAGAACTGTGCCAAAGAGGCCACTGGAACAGGCCAAAATACACTTTAGTAATAATTCATCACTCATCCATATAAATATCCATCTATGAACTGGCTTTCATGATGCATCCAATACATAAAAGCCTTTCTATTAACTGTAAACACAGAAAGATGTAATCAAAGAAACAACTGGCTGCAAACGGGGGTCGATGAGCTCTTTTTGGGGTTGGAATTCATTTGGAGATGCAGAACGTACAAGCATTTAAGCTGATCTGGAGTAACTAGTTCTTATTAGAACATGTTGAATGAATTGGCAGGTGTTCTGAGTGTGAACACACAAACATGTTTTTGAGATCAGAAAAGCAACCGAGTAGTGAGCTTGAGAAACAAAGAAAAGGAATGAAGGTTAAGAGGGAAGAGGCAGAATAATGTTGGAATCAGTGCTCTATAGCATGGAACAGTTTCTGGGACAAACCAAGATGAAGAAGGTTTACTGACCTGGAGTCAGCGCCTTCCAGAATGCGTTCGGCCTGATCGCCGATGACTTCCTGACGCAGATAGTACAGCATCCTCACCCTCAGCAGCACCCTGCAAAATAAAGTCATGCTGGTTAAAATGTTGTTTAACACAGAAACAAAAACAACAATTGTTTTAATGACAACTTAATCAAAATAAACACATTTTCTGAGGTAATGCGTTAAAAATGAACTGTGAAAACCATCAGAATCTTTTAAAGATGCAATGAAAACATTGAAGAATTATTTTCAGATTTCTTATTGCTTTCAGAGGTTATTCTGACCCTTGAAGATCCTCTAGTGTAGATTTGATCATTATCTAATCCTCTAAGAAATGGGTTTGTAAAAATAAGAATACAGCGGTATACTGCTGTATATGTGCAGTCTGCAGGAGCACTGAACACATTTGAGATGGAAATCTCCTCGGATGGAAAATGTCCTATAACTCATTACTGCATTTCAGTGTTTTTTTCTTTACAACTGCTTTCTAAGGGACGGTCATCTTCTGTTGATATCAATTACAGATGTTGGCGGTCACAGTGTGTCCTTCAGTGAAATGAATCACTTCAGTCATGGCTCAACAGTGACAGTCACATCTGAACTTGTGACATTGGAAAAGCTGCTATCTGGGTGATCTGCTTCACTGTAAACATTTGTCACCAGGATTTAATGCCAATAGCTGTGTTTGGGGCAGAAAACAGAGGGAAAGAGGGTTGGGGGGGGGGGGGGGGGGGGGGTAAGTGGGAGGAGCAGAGGGGGAAAGAATTGAAAGGACAGAGCGGTGCTGGAGGGAACAGTAAGTTTAGAGAGGCAGCGCAGATGGGGGAAGGGTATGAAGACTGTCACTTGCAACTCATTCTGCACTGTGTGTGTGTGTGTGCGCGTGTATCAATGGCATCGAACGTTGCCGTGTATGTGTGTCTGTTGGCAGGCTGTGTGAGCTCATCCATCAATGTGCCAGGCCTGATTAGCCACACAACACTGTGCTCCAGCCTAGCAGATGGCACCACATAATCACCCCCAAGTGTGTGTGTGTGTGTATACACGTCTTTCACCCACTTCCAACAGGTCTGCCTGCCTAGCACCTGGCCTGGCACACGGCCAGACGCACACAAACAAACAAACTTCCCCCTCAAGAAGAAAAAAAGAAAATCTTAGAATTGAAGCATATCTCCCTGACAACAGGACAGAGAGAGAGCTGACCACTCAACAAACCTGTGTGTGTGTGTGTGTGTGTGTATGTGTGTGTGTGTGTGTGTGTGTGTGTGTGTGTGTGTGAAGTATTCCTTTACTTAAGTACAAGTACAAATACTATGGTCTCAAAATACTTCACTGCTATTAAAAGTACAAAAGGTTTCAAAAGTAAAAGTACTCATTCTGCAGACAAATGAGTTTCAGAATAATATTTAGTACAGAAGTATAATAATCTAAAATGTCCATCAAGAGTGAAAGTACTTTCTATGCACAATGGCTCTTTTCACAGTATTATATTATTATGGTTATTATATTATGCTTTTTTTTATACATGCAACAGCATTTCAGTATTGTAGTTGGTCAATGTGAACCAAATGATACTAGAAAAACTATTAGCAGTACAGTGCTGCATTATACCTCATCAGCATATATGTGTCAGTATATGTACAAAGTAACTAGTTATATAGATGTAGTGGAGTGAAAAGTACGACATTTGACAGACCATAAAATGGAAATACTCAAATAAAGTACAAATGTGTCAAAGGACAATACTTGAGCAAATGTACTTCCCACTACTGGTGTGAGGAGGAAGACGGGAGGCTGCTTAGGCTGTTAAAGTTGTATTTACGGTTGTAGAGCGAGACTTAATTGATCACATTGTATCCATGTCCTGGTTTAAAGCCTGTAGCATTAGCTTGGAATCCATCACGGTTTTTAATCTGTAATCCTTCCATAAACTGTTAATGGCTCCCACAGATACAGAGGGAATGTGTCCATTTCAGGTGCGTTTGGGTGAGAAAGCCCTACTTGTTACAGTGGTGTTTCAGATGTCTCTTGTAGCTGTCCTCCTGCAAGATGTGGTCAGGGTTGCAGCTGGCCAGCCAATCAGCTCTTGGCGTCTGCGGAGTCGGAGCCGCGGGCTTCCCCTTCTTGCCCTTCCTGCCCCGAGGGACTGGAGTAGAGAGACCTGGAGGGAGAGGGACAGAGAGAGATAGAAGGGTAAGACACGGGTCGGGGACTTCTGCAGACGACAGCCTGTAATCCTTCAAACATTTCCAGAACCTGCTCCACAGCACAGCCCGCAGAAAGCGTGTTTCAGTTCTATAGATGAGGCAGCAATGGCTGAGATAAGACCTCAGTAATGAACCTTATTAGCGCACTTGAATAAAAAAGTTTTTCAGAATCTAGATATTTTGGTGCTTTTCCACCAGAAAAGGTTTCCTCTAAGAACAAATATTGATTTTGAATCCTCAGTTCTGCTAGCAAGAAATCCATGACTAGAATGTGGTTACCAGTGGATTGAGATGGTTTGATCTTTTTAGGATTCAGAGGATTTTCTTGGCTTTGAGATAGCAACTGGTAATCTTTTTTAAAAGATGGGAAGTATGACCATCATTAGTCTAAAGTGGATTTGTATGTCTTTCTATTATTATCATTTGTTCTATGCCCCACTTGTTGAGTGTCATTGAGGTTCACTCCCATAACTTTGTTCTTATTTTGTAGCATGTTTAAAGGTCTGTGAGCATCAAGCACAACATCTGTGCTTTCATTGTTGGTTACAGAATGCTAAAAGAGAATATTGATATGATTGTATAGAGTGTATAAATTGTATATATATATATAAAAATATATATATATAAAAAAAGAGAATAAAAAAACAACCCTTTTTTAATTCTTGAAATAAGACAAAAGTATCAAAGTATGGTTGTATTATAACAAAACTCAGACAAAGAGAAGTCCAAAGTGGCAAGATTGAAAGTGAGAGATAAGAGGGATGAGAAAAAGGACAGTGTACAGGACTCAAACAGCAGGAGGAAAGCCGCTTTCTTTAAGTGACCAATCCAAGTGCCTTTACACTCTGCTATTACTTTCATTGCCACCAAACTATACTTCCTGTTTTCTCTCCCATCCATCAGCCGTGACAGGAGGAACTCTGATATGCAATTAAAAAAATGATAGGTAAACTATCAATTTGAATTACATTAATAATGAAATAACAATAAAAAATCTAATATATTGTCATTCTCCCATGTATTATGTTGGTCAGTCCTACATAGTGTGGATTGTATGGTCTCATGTGTTACCGGAGTGGTTGGTCAGCAGCTTGGTGGTCCCGTCCTCACTGGGGTTGATCAGGTCCCAGATGAAGCTCTTGATGTTCTCGTCTCCACGGTAATGCAGCAGGCAGTAGGCCAGCAGCGCTCTGCAGATCTTCTCCACATCCGACTCCTTCAGGGGCCGTTTGAAGCGACCGTGAGCCAGGATGTCATTCCACCTACCCCACCTGCAAAGAGATATGGAGAACAAGAAGCTGTTAGTCGATATACCGTATTTGTTCAACATTTGTTTACCAGGTCATAGTATTCATTCAAATGCAGTAAAAAATGTAAAATACGGGAAAAATATTGAATTTCCTGTCAAACCAATGATCCACGTTTTTGATTAATCTAATTAACATAACTTATAATGCACATGATATAAAAACCATATTAATTATATAATGTGCATTCATCTGTGAAGCAAAGCAAATAAATGATAATAATGTATTTATTTACAAAGAAATTGATTGTAAACTGAATTGTTCTGATTTTAATTTCAAAAAAGGTAGCGGCAGCAATTAGTGCATTATCAGTTTTCAACCTATTTTATTAATTGAGTCATTTTTAATGCAAGTTATATATATGTACATTTCTGGATTTGTTTCTGTTTCTATTATAGTTATAGAGTTGAATATCTTTGGGATTTGGATTGACAAAACAAGACATGTTAAGACATCCCCTTGGTCTTTAAGAAATTGGTATGGACATTATACCATTTCCTGACATTTTATTGACCAAACAATTAATTTGGAAAATAATCTGTAGTTGCAGCCCGACAAAAAGGTCATACAAGTACCAGAGTTTTGATCTAACAGTCAGCCCAGCCAGTGCCACCCAGCCATGCCTGTGTGTGTTAATGGAGGGTAAGCGATCCTAAAGGCTGATGTGCTGGACAGGGTTTCCGACACAGTCTACATTTTTTCCAAGGCTGCTTCCAAATCTCCAGTGAACCATGTGACGCAGTGTTACTCTGAGTGATGATTTTAGACAAGGTAAAATGGTGGATGAGGGTGAGTGAGAGAGAGAGAGAGATGGATGATGGGAAAAGACAACAGCGCGTTGAGCGAGAGGACGGGCTCAGTCAGACAGTGTGTTTTTGTGTCCTACAGCCTCGGGCCACAAGACTAGACTGTAACAATAACAACGCTGACACACACACACACAATTATCCCTGTATGTGGTAAGTGTGTCAGTTGGCCTGTGTGTGCAGTATAATGCATCCATGTCCTGAAAGGCTGCTATGGTGTAGTAAAACACGCTCTTATGCACACGTTAATAAACATTCCTCTTTAATGCAATTATATTAATCATCCACAGGCATTTCCTACAGAGAACTTTAAAGCGTTTTAACCCGTGCTGGGGTTAAATCTGAACGTTTAACTACTGTCATCAATCATAAAATAGTGTTTTTTAGGCCTTATGATATCCTCCACAGTATCCATCAAACCACCCACAAAACTTTGGAAAACATTTTAAGTGTCTTCTTTTTGCACTGCAGTTTTTCATGTAAACCAGTAGTCTGAGACATTGTTTACAGCCTACAAAGTTGTTAAATAAAATGTTGTGATTATTAATGGTTTTTATGTAAGAGCAGTTAAAACAGACCGGTCAAATTTGATCGGGACCACCACAACACAGTAAGGGGGGAGAAATGGTTAAATGATTTAGAGACATGGTAAAAGCAGGTGTCTTTAGATTAGATAAGTGCATCAGTGATGTGACTGACCCGTAGACCAGCAGGTTCTTCTCCACTCGGAAGCACTCAGATCGGGGGTACCCCTGGGCTTTGTCTTGGGGCCGTCGCGGTTTGGACGAGGGTCGGCTCGGTTCGTCGTCTTCACTCTCCAGCTCCGAGAACTCGAGCATTTCGTCCTCTTTGGCGCTGCTGAAGTGCCGGGTCTGCTTCCTCACCCTCGGTGTGTCGATCACCAGCGTGTTCTGGAAACAAATTAGGTGAGCACATTTAGTTTGTGTTTTTTGAAAGCCAAGATGCATTTTCCTTCTGGAATCTTTTTTTTTTATTTGATTAATCAGGTTTCAATTACAGATGGCCTGAAATCTGTCAACAACAATATGCAAAGCACCTTCTGCTTCCTTCCTGTGAAGTGGCCTATTTGTACATATCATGTACATTCGGACTTCTATGACAAGTGTGAACCCCGTGGCATCTTCTGTACAGAATCGGAATAATTGGATGTTTGGCCCCTTGTTTCATTCCTGATGCTGAGAACATTTCAGCCTGGCTCAAACCAACTGCCATTAATTATGTTGTCTAATGAATTACATTTTTGTTCAATTAATTAGATTTTTTCCCACTCGCAATCCCATTAATATGCGCAAACAGGGCGGTAGTTAGCTCCACAATAATCACAGAGCGCTGCAGTCATTTCCATTTTAACATCACACAATGAAATCCCAGGGGAGCAGCCCTTGCTCGCTGGCAGATTTGGATTAAGTGTTCCGCTGGAGAGCCCTCCAAAAGAGGAGAACACAGAACCAGGAGGACAAACACAGATACAAAAAGTGAACAAATAGAGCGGGAAAATAAAGATGCCTGTTAGCAGAGCACTCAATGGGTGTGTAAGAATGCGAGCGAGCTCGTGTAACTGTGTGTGTGTGTAGTCTAAGTGATATCTCTGTACCCTCCAGGCATCTGCGCTCCGTTAAGTGGAGCTAAGCAGCTTACTCTCTCTCGCTCAAACACACACACGAGAGCAGGGAAACATGGGTAATCAAGGAAGAGAGGAGATTCCCAACTGTCAATATTAATCTCTCTTTCCTCCTGCTAGCTTGTGGTGATACCGACTACTTACCACTGCATGTCCCCTTTTCTATGAGGGGACACCCTTACTTTAAATCAAGTATTAGGAAGCATTTCTTTACGTTGTTGGGTGGATTTAACATTGTGTGTGTGTGTGTGTGTGTGTGTGTGTGTGTGTGTGTGTGTGTGATGCCAGCGATTATTCGATTTTTCGAATATTCGTTACAGTCTCCATAATCGAAAATTATTTTTAAAATTCGATTTTATTTATATATATTTTTATTATTATTTATGTGTTTCTTTTTTTTCCTGGCTTAGTTTCAACCAAAATATAGACTAATGCTAATAATAGTAATAGTATTAATAATTGTAAATGGCCATTGGTCACACCACCAGTTTGTTTTACTGTAAACTTGGAGGAAGCCAGTAGTGCAGCCTGCTGCAGCCTGCTACACACCGACCCCGCCCCCCCCCCTCTCCGTCACACGTGCGATTGATTTATTGGCGATATACAGAACAGTGAGAACAACACAACTAAAGATGAACAAAGCGGTACGTTAAAGAAGAGTTCCTCGTGGAACTACTTCGAACTGACAAGTGCAAATGAAGTCAAATGCAAGCTCTGCGAAAATACTATTTATTTTTCCCTCCCGCGCGGGGGGGGGGGGGGGGGGCAGAGAATAATCGATTAATATTCGCCAGGGCTGTCTGATTTTCGAATTTGATCATGGTCAGTTTCTGGCATCGTGTGTGTGTGTGTGTGTGTGTGTGTGTGTGTGTGTGTGTGTGTGTGTATGTGTGTGTGTGTGTGTATGTGTGTGTGTGTGTAGTACCCGTCCATTCATGGCATCCATGTCCAGCTCAGCCTTCTTGGCCCATTTCTGCCAGAAGTCTGGGTCCTCCAGAGAAATGTCTGTTCGGTTACCAGCTGCAACAAAACTGGCCTGCAGACGAAAGAGGTCGGTAATTAACTTCACATCCGTGATTTTAAGTAACTAAGTAGATGTACTCAAGTATTGTACTTAAGTACAATTCTTAGATAGTTGTACTTTACTGTAGTTTTTCATTTTTCTACTTTGTACTTCTACCCCACTACAATTCAGAGGTATTAAGTACCAGATTTGAGTACATCTTCCACTGATAATATAATGTCTGAGTATGGAAGCAGAGTTCACTGCAGTAGTCGTTGGATCATGCTCAGGTTTTACCTTAGCAAAGGTAGAGCCCTTGCCCTCGGACTCGATGGTGATGGTGTGTGTTCGTCTCTGGAGGATCTGGTCGATGTCTTCCTCACAGAACTTTGATCCCTCGTCTTCCTCGTCCATCAAAGCTCCGTACGCTCCCTTCCTCAGCAGGTCCTCAACCTCCTTCTTGGACAACTGCTGTACTCCGACAACAAAGGATTCCATGACAAAGTTTAGTGTTGTCAGAGCACACAAACATGGGACGGGAAATATTTGAACTAAACTATCAATTTAGCTTATTTGGCGTCAGTAGGTTTCATACAAAGGATGAACGAGTGGTCTGACAACGTGGTGTGAAGGTTGCGTCTATCGTTTTTCCAGCCCAGCTGAGATTTAACCGCTAACCACATCTGCATAAACATCTGCATAAACGAAGCTCTGAGCAACTGCGCCATGAACGTATAAAGAGAAGGAAGACTTTACAGCGCGGGGGAAATGGAATATTTGTAATCCTGTGACAGTGTTGGAGAGTATCCCATATAATACAATACTGTACTTATGTACAAAATGTGACAAACTAAAAATTAACTATTGAATATTGTTTGCTAGATTATTATTTTTAAATCCATGGTGAACTCGTACAAAAAACAATTAACATTTACTCAGCTCTGCGCAACTGTTGACGCTTTCATATTAAAAAAGTGCTTTTTTCATCAATCTACTTTGAAAAAAAATGCTCTATGAAGCGACTGTAGCTGTCAAATTCATATTTCCTGGCATGAAAACACAAAGGGTTACGCTATGTTGATGCTTTCGTCATGGTTAAATCACAACTGGGTTGGAGACAGTTGTTCAGCTTCTGGAATAGCTTTCCGACTCATGGTGAACTGAACAGATTCACTGTCCAAACAAATCCACCTGAAGCTATCTATGGGATATTGGACGTGTGTGTGTGATGTCTCACCCCGCTGTTGCTGTTCTCTCGTCCGCTCATGCTCTGCAAAACGGCCTTATCGAGCCCTAGCTTCAGACTGGCCTTGTCGAACATCTCCCTCTCGTAGCTGTTCCTGGTGATCAGCCGGTAGATCTTCACCGCCTTGGACTGGCCAATACGATGACACCTGGCCTGGGCCTGGAAGAGGACGCAGTCAGATAAATGACTTGCAGAAGAGGACTAATGATATGGTGGTCCAGTGAAGCAGAATCAGTCACGTGCAGAGGAGGTTAGAGGGGCAGGGTCAATGTCCGAATAAAAGGGCAAGCTGGCGATTTGTGTTACTTTTAAATAAAAATATGTCTAAGATAACTACTTTTGTGACAGTTTTAAGGGATATTACAATTTATTAATTTTAAACAAACCCATGCACTTCTACAAGACAGGTAATTTCATGATACATGCAAATAAATGAAGTCCATTTTGGTAAATTCTCCTCACATGTTAACAAGCAAAACTCTTACCACCTTCTCCATAAAGGCATCAGGCAAAATGCTTCCGTAATTACTGGCAATGAGAAGATGCTGATATTGTACGGCTCATATACTTCTACTATGTGTGCTTCTACTTGTTTGGAAGCTCATCCTAAATAAAGTGAAGCTCGAGCCCAGTTTGAGGTCCATCTGTGCACGTGTCTGAGCAGAGCTAAATGTGGGAGTCAGGATTGTACCTGCAGGTCGTTCTGAGGGTTCCAGTCAGAGTCGAAGATGATGCAGGTGTCGGCTGCCGTCAGGTTGATGCCTAGGCCCCCGGCCCTCGTGCACAGAAGGAACACGAAGCGGTCCGAGTCAGGTTTGGAGAAGCGGTCGATGGCAGCCTGACGTAGGTTACCACGCACTCTGCCGTCTATACGCTCATAAGGATATCTGCACGGGTGGAGAGGTATTTTAGTGACATGACAGAAAAGTCAACACTATGAGAGATGTCCCAAAACTTCTCTATGGCTTACCATATGAAGTCACATTCCCCCAGATACACTATATCATATCAAACAAATTAATCAAGACTATGAAGTGCAACTTATAATGACTTTATTATTAACCATCTGAGACCAACATAGGACATTTCCGTTTTTGTATATATTTGAGTTTTGCCTTATAAATTGTCATTTCTTTACAGTATAATCAAGTGTTACACATCCCAGAGATCAGCACAACCTCAGCTAATGATATATGTCACTCATTAGAGACTTATATACAATATAATAGGGGATATTTGCCCATAAATAAAAAATAAATAGAAAACGGAGCTTGAACTTTTTACTTATTTCATTAAAAGGAACTGCTAACCATAACATTGAAAGAAACATTCAACACAGAACATTGCACACATTTATTATCATTGTATCAGAACTGATTAGAAGATTCTAACTTATTCTGTTAATTAGTTATGCCCATTCTTTTGGGCAGTGTCCATGGGCGTTTCTTTGCCAGGAATTGTCATTTTTTTCTCCTGACAATTTTGAAGAGTACCCATGATATATATCATGTCCACAATCACACATGGCATGCTGAGCAGATTCGTCTGAATTTTCATCAACATCGTCACCTTGAACAATCAGCTCCAAAGCCTCAGCTCTAGTAAACTTCCTTGCCATACCTCAGTTTACTTTTAAGACACTAAAAGAAAGTATTCCAACTTTTATTTTGTTTTCGTGCGTGGAATTATACCGGCTCTCGTTTCAGTACACATAACAACGGAACTGACAGGCAACCCTCTGATTCAGACTCCGATTGGCTGTGACTGCATCCACTCAGAGTGTCCGATTCAGAAACGTGACTCTTTACGTCACAAACAAAGATGGTGGATGAGAATAGATCTATAAAACAGAAAACGATAAGCAATGCGCCAGAATCAAGGTGAGACTATCCGCATCTTTTAAAACTTTACGCACATTCGTTTCACCGAAATAAGTAAACGCCTCTCAATGAAAAACGTAATAGAGTTGTTTATTGCCGTTTCTGTAGTTTAAGAGGAAAAACACGGCATGTCTCTGGCTCAAACAGCTGAGAAGTTATGACGCTTTGAACACAATGTGATATTTGGGATCGTATACGGCCCCGTGGGTCTCAGAGGGTTAAGGATTATTATTTCCCTTATTTTCTGGATTAATCGATTTGTTGTTTGGTGAATCAGGAAACGGGTCCACCAAAGCTCCCTGAAGACCAGGGTGATTCTCTTTTCTGTTTTATATGACTTACAGTCCAAAAGCAAAGAAATTCAGTCTACTGAAGTTAAGACGCAAAAATAACACATTAATAATGCATTTCAGCAGCTCAAACCAGTCATTATCTTTCTCTGAAAATCAATGAAAAGATAAATCCATTATTAAAATAGTTGGACAATTAATTTGATGTTGATCAACTAATAGTTGCAGCTCCTACCAGGACCTACAATACTTTGAGTCAGTACCTGAGTAGCTACAGCTGATCTTTACAGACATTGATCAAAATGCCTCCTGCTGCTATGTCTTTACATTTTTCCAGGGAGCATCTTGTGAACTCAGCAGCTGTCATTCATCTGATTGGCCCGTGTATCAGCAGAAGCCCGTTCTTGTTATAGGATTAAATGGGGTCATCCCTACACTCTGCACCCTTTGAGGAAACGTGTCTCTGTCCTCACCGTTTCTGGATGAGGTAGTCCTCCAGAATGTCCAGGCAGCGCACCATCTGACTGAACACCAGCACTCTGTGGCCCCCCGCCTTCAGTTTGGGGAGCAGCTTGTCGATGAGCACCAGCTTGCCAGCAGCCTGCACCATGGCTTGGAGGGCCATGTCAGGCATGTCTGCCCGGCCACCGTGGGATTCCCTGAACTCCTCCGCAATCTTCTCCTCCGCTCCTGGACAAGGGAGGACAATTGAAACTCATCAGAGAAACATTTGGAACATCTAGACCAAGAGTGTCTAACATACAGACACTGGCCCACCAGAGAGTCCAAGAGGGCCAGTGGAATGACTTGGCAAAGTGTAGAAATGACAGATAAGATATTAACTGCAAAAATATAGTTAATTCAATGTGAACATTTTCAGAATGTACATTCTTTGCACTAAAACAAAGGGAAGGAGTTGTTATTTATAGGTTATCATCCCATGATTTTACTGGTCCGGCCCACTTCAGACCAGATTTGGGTGTATATGGCCCCTGAACTTAAATGAGATGGACACCCCAGATTTATTCGTGGCAGAATTGTTATTCTTTCATTTAGTTACTGGAAGTGTGTTTATACCAGTAATGAGGTATGGGTGGTTGCAGCATTTCCTCAGCTCCATCATGGTGTTGAGGAGGTTGGGGACTCCTGCTCCTCCACCTGCTCCTCCTTTGGACAGGAAAGTGAAATTCTTCTCCAGAATGGCCCGATAGTATTTCTTCTGCATGTTGGTCAGCTCCACCTGAAAAAGGTTGACTCAATTCTTTTTTTTCCTTCTCTGAAACATATCCATTAGATGACGATGTATGGAAACCATCACCAGAACAAGACGGTTCAGACATCAGTCCTACCTCTATGATGGTCTCCTCCTTGGGGGCCAGGTTCTTCTCCACATCCTCCTTCAGTCTTCTCAGCATCATGGGCTTCAGAATGGCCTGCAGTTTCTGGACCTGAGAGCGTGGGAAGCAGGGTTAACACTTCAGTCAGTGAAGGAAGCACAGGACGTGTGAAGGTCCTCCCCTCTCCGAAGAGTTCTCCATTTACCTGCTCTTCAGTCTTTAGGTCTCCAAATTCACTCATGAATGTCAGTTCAGAGGGGAAGCGCTCGGGCTCCAGGAAGTTGAGTAAGCTGAAGAGCTCCTCCACCGTGTTCTGGAGAGGAGTCCCTGTCAGCAGGACTTTGTGCTCCTGCAAGAGGGAGAGACAGGAGAGAGGACGTTTGAGTGTCTCACATGAAGGCTTTGTCCAACTCCATACAAGAGCTTTGAAAAGCTACACAAATCTGGCTAAGAAAACATACCCTGTACTCAGTGTGCCAAAAAACACACACTGCTTAAAAATACTTATTTTTAGTATATTCACATTTCTTTACCTACCATCGCAACTTCTTTTCTTAGAGCAAATTCCCTGCAAGTGTAAACGTACCCGGCAATAATCTTGATTCTGATTCATATGTACTGTGGACTTTACTCTGAGCTCAATTATCTTAGTGAGAGTGTGCAAATAAATAAAAGAATGATTTCGTATTTATCAGCTGACCCATCTTAGTCGCTAGGTTGTTTGTTTGAATTAATAATAATAAAGCTTTATTTGTAAAGCACTTTTCACAAGCCAGGTGCAGCTCAAAGTGCTTTGACAACATGGCAAACATCAAAGATTCACCTCAGGTCCAACATTGAAACCTTTTAGCACGTATACAGCATAACACCATAATATAACAGTTCCAGGGACATAAGAGGTCAAGTAGGTGTGGTAATACAAATACAATACAGTCAAATAAATAATGATCCCTCTTGGTCAAATAAGACACAAGACGAAATGAATAAATACAATAAAATAGTAAAACCTATAAAATAAATAAAACAATAATAATAAAAGTAATAACAAAATGTCCACTGTAATATTTTCTCAGTTGTCACTTTTTAAAAGCTCAATGACTAACTTCCAAGAGACTTAAAGGCACATTTCTGGTTAACTCAAGATGAAATGTAATGCTTTGTGTACTAAACTTGGAACAGAAACTCAGTTCTGCAGATCAAACCAACTGAGCGATTAGTCGACAAGTTAAGTATTGTTTGTGGAATTTCTTAGGTGTCAAACAGCCCTAGAGATAACCTGCGACCACTCGCCACTTGCTGAATCGATTCTTCTTGCCCTGGCCCCCACTCACCATGTCCATCATTTTAAGTCCTTCCAGTAGCTTGCAGTTTCGGTTTTTGAGGCGGTGGGCTTCGTCTATCACCACACAGCGCCAATTCACGTTGCGCAGCTCCGGACAGTCAGTCAGAATCATCTCGAAGGTCGTTATCACAGCGTGGAACCGGTACGCTCCCTTTATTACTTTACCCTGGAGGAGGGAACAGAGAAAGGGGAAAGAATGAGGGTCAAGACTCATCTTTATTGTCGAAGTCTGTAAATTCAATATTATTTCATGCTGTGGATCAGGGAGGGAAACAGTTTTTACTTGAACGAACAATATACAATCATGGCAACTCCATAATAGTGAGAAAAAAGGCCAAAAAACAAAATTTGACACCGGTTGTATGTTTTCTTTACTCAAATCTGGTCAAATAGAGAACAGAATACCCCCTTTAATATTATTACCATTTTAGAGATGGCAGACAAACAGTGTAACCCTGAAGTGTTTTGTGTAGCTGTCCCTTGTATGTAGTAAGCAGGCAGTGCAGGAACACGTGGTCCAGTTCGACCTTGAGGATTACCTCAGCCAGGATTAGGAACAAGCAGCTAGCAAGGACACGGCTACTCCAGCTTATTTCCTTCAGCGGTGGCGTGGGTTTCACTGAGTGGCTGAGAGTGTCCGCAGCATTGTACAATAAGAGCTTACAGCTCGAGGAGTGTAAAGAGCTTACACAGCAGAGGAGCACTGTCCATCCCCAGCTGACCGGACCCCCCTCCCCCCCACAGGGTAGCTGTTCAGATGTGCTGACAGTCACACTGTACTGCTACATCATCCTCCTCATACAGAGCTGCTAACAGGACGCATCAACACTCGTCCTTCTTCAGGTCTTTCATTTACTACACTTTATTTAGGATGAGCTTCCAAAACATGGACTTTACATTTCAAGCAAATGACACTTGTTTGATAGAAATATGAAAGCCTGGAAAAGGCATTTGATATGTTTGGCAATTCTTGACGGACCTTTAAGAAATTCAACATCAAGCTAAATCACTGAGCACTGAGCTGACAGCCTTTTACCTCTGGCTGTTCATTCTTTGTCTAATTAAACATAACATTTGATGATTTATTCAGTTACACAGCTTAACTAAATTGATATTAAGCAACCAGTCATGCCAACATTAAATTGCACTGTAATCTGAGTTTTCCAATTTGAACTCTATTGTTATATTATATTTGAACTGTACTATGTATTGTTTTATTGACCTGTACTTAAATCATGTTTTATAATTGTTTGTGAGATAGAGATGATGCAATGTTTTTAGTGTTTGTTGATTGTTATGAAATTAGTTATTAGCTATAATCTGGCATAATCCATATTTTCTCTTTTCTGAGATTAATGTATTTGTATGCATGGTCCTTGTTTAAATAAATACACAATATATACAGCAAAGATTTAACTTTCCTTTTCAATAACTCATCAGCAGAGAGGTTATTTTGACTGGATGGTGGTTAAACTTAAAAGACAGAAATAAAAACCCTTATTTTATAAATTGTCACATGATGTGCAGTTTGGACACAGTGTGCTCACCTGTGAGTCTCGGTGGTACATCTCGTAGGCCTGGATGGTCTTGCGGCTGGCCTGGCTGCCGTGGTACACCACAGCGTTCAGCTCCGTCCAGGTGCGGAACTCTCTCTCCCAGTTGGGGATGGTGGAGAGCGGGGCGATGACCAAGAACGGCCCCTGGATGCCCATCTTGAAAATCTCAAAGAGGAATGTAATAGACTGGATGGTCTTTCCTAGACCCATCTCGTCAGCCAAGATACAGTTACGTCTGTGGAGGAGGGAGGAAGTGCTCAGAATGAATAATAGCATAAAAACAAATCTCTATTCAGTGTCACTCAACAAGTTAACATTACAAGTCCGACATCTCAGAGACCAGTCCCGCTTTGGCCCTGATGTAAACATCCGGAACTTTTACATGACTCCGCAGTATGCTTCCATGACCTCAACCATCTTTCCCTTTAGATCATTATTGCTGCTGCTTTTCCACAGGGGTGAGGCGGTCTGTTTTCCACACCAGCGATCTAATGCAAACAATGTGCAACAAGCTGGAAAATGATCTGTCATACTCAGAGACTTGATTTGAGTCCTTCATATTCCAAAACATCGATGAACAGTATTCACCCTCAAACAGTAAGACTTGGGCAGTGGTGTAAAGTAGCCAAGTAGATTTACTCAAGTACGAAAGTAAAATCTTGAGATACTTGTACTTTACATGAGCATTTGAATGTACTTCTACTCCACTACAGTTCAGAGGTAAATGGTGTACTTCTACTCCACTACATGTATTTAATACCTTTAGTTACTTTACAGATGTGGATTAATGATGTGAAATATAACCAAGTGTTAAATCAGACTTTAGTAAATTCACAAGCTACCCTGCAGTATACAAAGTCATTCAAACTAGCTGCACCTTTACCAGCTTTGAGAACACTTTCATGATCAATCATTATAAAACATATCATATATATTATTCTGAAATGGACCAATCTGCACAATGACTATTTTGATGCTAGTTCTTTGATTGCAGGACTTTTACTTATAGAGTATTTTTACACTCTGGTATTGCTACTTTTATTTAAGAAAAATATCTTAATACTTCTTCCACCTCTGGAATTGGGGCAACCAACAGAAAAATGTACACAGACTTACAAAAACCTTGTATTTGTGCTCTTAAATGAGGATTTTGGTGGAACTAACAGGGTGCATGGATAGCGGCAGTGGGAAAACGTAATCCCCAGCATGCTGGAGGGCCACTTAATGTCCCATTAAGAGCATCAGATGAGGGGCCATCACATGCACAGGCTGGCAGTGGCAGTGAGGAGCTCATTAGAGCAGAATAAACTTAATGGTGACTTACGAGTTGTACCAGTTGAAGGTGAGCCAGTTGAGGCCTTCCAGCTGGTACTCCCTGAGTTCGTTGCTGTTCCTGTAATCCATGGCCCCCTCCAGCTTCTTCCATTCGGCTGCAGGGGGCCGTTCCTAGACGCACAAAAAATTAATTACTACACAACATCGAGGCTCATCTATCTTCATCAAATATTTGGTGTGAGGATGGGACTTGTTGGAAAACTGAAGATGGGATCAATTGGATTTCAAGGATAATTTGTGATTGTAAAACACGGGGTGGTGCAATAAACCGCAGTTCAAGTGTCGTTCAGCTACAGAATGACAAATATTTACTGTGCGCTTTGATCAGCACCTGGTGTATGAGAAGTGCTATACAAATAAAGATGTTTTATTATTATCATTATTATGATTGATTTGATGTTTTTGCAGAAAAAAGACGGATGCATTAGGAAGCTTTCTATTACAACCCAAAGTGCATGGCAGCACACAGTAAGCAGGAAAAGGAAGGCTCAGAATATAGAAACGTCTTCCCATATTTCTACCGTGAGTTCTGTGCTAAGTGCCTTAGCATTTTTTTGCTTAGTGCTAATTCAGAGGCTTGGTATTACCCTTGTGTTTCGTTTAGCTAAACATTTTTCATATCGTCAGTCAGTTTCTTCCCGTTAAGTGGGTATGACACATTAATATGTTGTTAAATGTTAAGAAGCCCTGAGACACAGTTTCGTGAAGAAAAAAAAAGGCCGTAGCCGGGCTTAACAGGTTAAGGAGAAACAGTAGGCCGCAGTAAAAGAGATGGACGCAGGCAGAGAGAGAAGTGATGAGGCAGAGACCACAGCCAGTCAGCTGCTTCTGTTCAGCATTAAACACACTGTTAGTGGTTTGGCCCGGCCACAAGACCAGGGCGTGTGTGTGTGTGTGAGCGAGTGTGTGAGACCACAAGAACGTGGCCCTGTGGAGAGCAGTTAAGGGAGCTGTAAATCTGGAGGAGGAAGGAGCAGGCAGCAGGCCAACACACACAAACACACGCCTACTGGGAGGAACCATATAGCACCCAACGAGAATTCAGACACACACGCGCCGAAGGAGCTGCTTACCACTCTCTTAGTGTTGGGTGTGCGTGCTGCGATGAGTTCGTAGTCGTCTATCTTGGACTGGTCGATGTCGGCCTTCAGCTCCCAGGTGGAGTCTTCGTAAGGCAGGCTGCACCATTTAACCAGATATAAGGTCACCGTCTACACCACAGAAAAACACACACACAGAGAAACAGGAGTCAGGTCTGGGGAGTGCGTGTGGACAGAGGCAGAAGCTCAAACCCATGAAAGATGACAGGAAGAGATCAAAGCACCTCTTCGTTTTCATCTGGGCTCTCTGAAACGTCCAGGACACGGTCCACCTCCACGTAGTCGGGGTTAAAAGGCTCGTCGTCCATCTGGAAAGAAAAGAGACTGGAGTTTTACCAATAGCAGGGAGGAGGTTTAACGATAGGTCTGCTGACAGCGTGGACTGGCTAACTCATTTCATGGTCTTTTATCTGGAGCTGTATACATGGGGGGTTTTCTCTTTGGCTTTTCCCCCTTCAAAAGATGTTGATTTCTGAGCCTCTTAATGTCAGTGTTCATTATTGTGAAACACATGTCTGTATGAAGATAAATTGCTTGGGACTTCACTCTAAAAATGCATTTTATTTCTACCATTATTTTCTATTTGTCATATATCGGTTTATTACATCTTGACTGTATAAACCAATGTTTAGACTGACGAAAATACTGTTTTGGGACCATTTAGTACTTAGGGTTGAATTTGTTTTTAGGGTATTTGGTTAGTGTTAGGCGTTTTTAGCTTGTAAAAGGTTTCAGTATAGTACATGAGCTCTCCAATCCTAGATGTGTTAATATCTATTAAATACTTGTTACTTGTACCTGTTCAGTGTTTGGGCCCCTATACTACAACTTTTGATCCTAGTATTTGAAATGTAGAACCATAATAGTTTTGAATGACTTCATTAGGTGTGGAGCTGGGCTGACCGTAGTGGAGAGTCTTACCTCTGTTATGAAGCTGTTGAGGAGCAGCTGCTTGGCCCTGAACCTCTTGACCTTTTGGTGTATCCTCTTGTCCTTCTCCAGCTCCTCCAGGTCTGCCCAGCGGCAGTGGAGGTATGAACTGAAACACACACACACTCAGTGATTCTCATCAAAGCCAAAGAGGACAAGACTGCCGTTTGGAATAATCAAACTCTAAATAGGTGATTTACTGAAGGAAAAAGTTGGGTTGGTTACACAATTAAAATGTCATTTGCATATGTATATATATCAATTGATGATGGGGTGATTATTTTAAGAGCATCTGTAGCAAACAGTAATTTAGAATAATATTGGTGTCTGCAGCAACACAATACTTTATTCAAAATTGTTTATAAACATATTCTGCCTTTTACAGAAATAGTGCTTTCTGCTATTTGAATAAAGTATATACTATATATACTAGTATATAGTGAGATTTGGAGAACATTTTTTCTATCTATTTTACTTGTGTTTCATATTTTATCTTGTCCTTATTATTTTCTTTATCCTTTAGCACTCTCACTCGTGTTTGTTAATCTGTAAAGCCCACTGAGAAACACGTTTTGTGATATTGGGCTGAATAAATAAACTTTGATTTGAATACAATTGGCGCAGCCATACTACACAACAGCTGAAACACTTTTAATGACGAAAGATGAAGAAAAACACCACATGTGTTTGGCAATATCATAAAATAAGAGTGTACTAGCAGCACTTCTGCGTTATTGATGCTGGAGTGGTTGTGTAGCACAAAGTGAGCCAGGCTTTCAGGTCGAGTACACAAAGCTTCTCACACTTAAAGATGCCTCGGACACCCCGGTGTGTGTGTGTGTTGAAAGTAAGTGTAAAAAGGAAAGGGGGAAGCCCTGCTGTGAGAGACAAAAGAGGCAGATATGGAAGGAATGGGAAAAACACGGCATGGTACTCACAAGCCCTTGAACTTGACGTAGAATTCCTCCACCTCCACTTCCTCCCCCGACTCCAGCTGAAAAACACAAAGGTTGATAATAAGCAAATGTAGCTGTGGCGTGGTGTAAGAGTCATTGTTATACAACATGTGGTTGAGTGGCAGCAGCTTCTGTTTAACTCGCTATGGAGACACTTCTAATCTGGAATTTCCTCACATGCGACTTGAAAAAAAGGTTGGGCTCTATTATTGCAGAAAAGTAAAAAAATATATATCTGGCGGTGTAAAGTAACTAGGTACATTTACTCAAGTACAATTTTGAGGTACTTGTACTCTACACGAGTATCTAAATTCCATGCTACTTTGTACTTCTACTCCACCACAGTTCAGAGGTAAATGGTGTACTTCTACTCCACTACATGTATTTAATACCTTTAGTTACTTCACAGATGTGGATTAATGATGTGAAATATAATCAAGTGTTAAATCAGACTTTAGTTCCACCTGGAGTAAATTCACAAGCTACCCTGCAGTATACAAAGTCATTCAAACTAGCTGCACCTTTACCAGCTTTGAGAACACTTTCATGATCAATCATTATAAAACATATCATATATATTATTCTGAAATGGACCAATCTGCATAATGACTATTACGCTACTTTCACTATATTTAGATGAGAATAGTTTTACTTGAGCAACATTTTGAATGCAGAAGTATTTCTATTTTTAATTAAGTAAAAAATATGTTTCCGCTGCTGACTATATCCTTCAGAGTTTTATTGTTTCAAAATATAGCGCTGTAATATTTCTCTTTAGATTTCTCCCATGCATGCAGCAGCAGCAGCACGCGTGTGAAAGGGAAGCACCCTAACAGCAGCTCCTTTTAAGCGCAGCCATCCACTTCCATTCACTACTGTACGACACACACCCTCCACCATGCTACTACTACTGTAATGCCATGAATCATCAATCACACACGCACGCACCCTGCCTGAGGAAACGCTAGCTTGGCGTCTGGCGAGCTAGCGTTGTGGTTTTGGATGTGGGCCAAGCCCGAGGTCAACTCTGAATGGAGCGCGTGCATGTGTGTGTGTGTGTGTGTATGTGTGTGGAGGGGGGGTAACCCATTGGCAGCTGGCTAGCAAAGGAAAGTTGGCTGGTGACTGTTTGTGCGTGCGTGTGTTGGCTCGGGATGTGCTTTCTTTAGACAAACCGTCTAAAGCAAAGCTGGGAAAACATACACACACACACATAGAGTCAATCAGATGCACACAGTGCTGCAAGCGCATACACACACATAGTGAAGCAAGAACTCTCATCTCTGCTTACCAAGTGAATACGTGTGTGTGTGTGTGTGTGTGTGTGTGTGTGTGTGTGTGTGTGTGTAATCTGCTTAGGCCAGCTGAGGAGCGGCTAATCATATAACGCAAACTATGACTAGGGCCAGTGTGTCCATTTGTGTGTGTTTGTCTGTGCATTGTGTTGGTGTGTGTGCGCGTGTGTCACTGTGTTTCTCACCTGTTTCTTGGTGATGCGTTTGACCATGATCTTTTCCACAACGGGCCCTTCAACCTCGGCCACATCCTGGAAAACAAACGGAACATGTGAAGAGTTGGAGCTTCATCCAGCCTCTGCAGCACAGCAGCTACTGACTCTGACTTCAGGTACCACTGTGAAACTGACATAGGATCAGTGCTGGTTTTATAACCGGGGTTTGGGAGGAATACCAAACGGTACTTTTATTGAAAACCTCACTTTAAAAGTTTCTTAGTAATAATTTCTCCCCATTGACTAAAAGGATTTAAATTACATTTTGTATAAACTAAATATCTAACTTTTCCTTAAAGGGGCACTATTCTACTCATTTTCAGGTTCATATTTGTATTTGTGTCTCTACTGTGACATGTGTTGATACCTCAATATTAGTGGTGGGGCAAAATCTAATTGTTATGAATGTCTAGCTTCTCCTCGTTTACATCATCATGTGATTGAAAGCCCAGCTGTACCTGTTGCTGTGACGACGATGGAGACTTGGGTGTTGTCGAGTCGTCGCCGCTGTCATCGTCTGTGATCTTGAACTCCAGATCCTCCGTGTACCTCTTCCTCTTCACCTGACGGCTGGAACGGCGCTTCTGTTGGACAGAGGGAGAGTTCTGTGAGTTCAGGACGGCTTTCCAAAGTGTACATGTAAATGTGTAGTGACGGAGAGAGGAAAATACAGGGCTGTTCTATTCCAACAAACACACTTCACTTGTATTATTCATTACTCTCTTCCATATGGTGCGGCCTGTTATCCATATTGACATCACCCAATTTGCTGGGCTAGAAAAGTAGCCAAATAACGAGTGTGTGTAAAAAGACGAGTGTAGTGAACAGGAGACACACTTCTTCAGGAGCTTTCCTATTTGAATGAGAGCCACGACTCTTTATGCAGCCAGATGCTACTCTGTTTACATGGCACACGTAATTACATTAGCACATCAAACATTTATCCGTTTCAAGAGGGCTAAAGTGGAGTTCTGTTTGTTCCTCCAAAGAGCACCTTACCGAACAGGAAGGAGAGATTTTGAATTGTATTTGAAATAAAACATTGATGCACCAACTGAAAAGTTGCTGATAGTGCATCAGATGAACTTGGCAGTGGAGCCTGTGGTTGGTCTGTCAACAAAGCTGGTTTACAACACAAACAGAGGACAGCTTCTATCTCTACAGGCTGTGACACTGAGGGATGTTTTTAGGTGCTATGCCTGAAACAAACACTGCTGTCTTTTCTTCTCAGGAAGGTTCCTAACAGAGGGAAAGACCCAAAAGTACCTATGGGCCAAAATACATTTCTGATCTCCTGCTACATTATGAACCACACAAAACTCTCAGGGGGTCTGGGACGATTTGCTTTCTGTCCCCAGTCAGAACTAAACATGGAGAAGCGGCTTTCAGTTATTATGCTCCAAATATCTGGCACAAACTCCCAGAATCCTGCAGGTCGGCTGCAACTCTTACTACTTTGAAAAAACAAAAATTCACTGCAAAGCCAACACATTTATATAGAACGCATGGGGGGAAGTATCTAGATGTGTTTTGAGTAGTCCATGTATGAACATTTTTAGTCCGCACAATTTTTCCTAAGTCCTGATGAATTCACCTTCAATCTTTCAATCCTTAACCCCATGATGTTTTTCAATGAGTTTAAGGGAGAGTGATTAGGAGAAGACATAGGACCTGATTTTTTACAATTAAACTGCAACCATCTTATAATTCATTAATTTGAACAATTTGTGAAGTTTTTGATGGCCGAGAGTTGAAACGGGCTTCTAAAGCGCTGCTTTCCTGGTCTGCGTGTCATACCTGTACGCCGTCATCGTCGTCATCTTCAGGAGCTGAGGGGGGCGGAGACTTCACCTCCACCTCATCGCTGACTGACGGCTCTCTCTTCCTCTTGGATTCCTTCTTAGCAGCGCTAGCCCCACCCTCAGACTCAGCCTTCTTACTGCTGTAGGGAGAGAGAGAAAAAAAACCTAAATATTCAATAAAGAAGAAAAAAATGACTAAAAACAAAGTAGAACATTCCTCAAAGTGTTAGGCATTCCTGTGTGTGTGTGTGTGTGTGTGTGTGTCTGTCCCAGGGCGGTCGCCATGTTTGATTTACCCATTTAGAAATCATTAGTGTGCCTCGGGCTCTGGCACACAGGGGGTTAATATGATGAAAGACTGCAGAGAGGCGGAGGGAGCGAGATAGAGAGATACAGGCACAGAGGAAGAGGGGGGGGGCACAGAGAGACACAGGGAGGGAGAGACAGGCAGACAGAGAGAGAGGCCCCAGAAAGAGGAGGGGGGAGGGGTTGAAAGGCCCCCAGGCTTCCTCTAATCTCTGGCATGGAAAGCAAGAGGAGCTGGCTCCATCTGCGAGAGCGCGCACACGCACACACACACCACAGGAGGAAAGCAAGAGGACACTGGGCTCCCCTCTTCTGTCTCTCACACCGGCCATCAGTACTCACTCTGACACGACCAATAGTGGAGAAGCTTTATAAAACACTGATTTTCAAATATCTACATTCTGATCTACATTCAGGCTGTAACTAAAGTTGGGAGAGGACAGAGTTAGATTACATAGATCCAGTATGGATGCTACTTATCCAATGTGAATCCTTAAATCCACCATTCAATTATTTAGATTTCAACATTTTTAGCCATCTAAACCTGGAGCTTCAATCTGAAGTGAGAAGAGCAGCAGAATTCAATGCTGACCCATTAGAGGTGCACACATTGCAATAACAGTTTTTTTAAGTCTAACCTGCCGATCCAGATTTTCTTTCCAAGAACTAGAAGTTCTTCATTTTTAAATGTAGTGAAAAAGTTAAGATGCCTCAGGTTAAGTGATGGGAAGCCCTAGGCAAGGAGTTTGTTTACAGAGGATTTAATCAGACAACAGTTTTGTTAAAAGTCACCTATTATGCTATTTTTAGGCAATAGCATAGGTCTCAGATATATAAAAAACATGTCTATGAAGTGTTTTGCTCAAAATACCAAACAGATCACCCATTCTAGCCATGCCTCATATCCCTCTATTTCACTTCCTGTTTCAAAAGTGCCAATATTGTGTATAAAGCTTCTTTTTTTTTAAAAGAGAAAAAAAGAGGGGCGGGGCTTATGCCTGCTCATGCGGGAGATTCTACCGGCAGATACTGCCGTGATGAAACGCCATATCATGGATTGTTTCTGAAACAGTATGGAGCTCAAAGGCTTTCTCTCTTGCCGGTTATACCACAAGGTGAGTTCCTTTTTATTTCCTGCTTCTTCACACACATGCTCTGTGCAGTACAGGTTAGCTCTGAGTGTTAGCGATGCTAATGTAAACACTGACCATATTACGTCCAAAACAGTCAGGCATTGTTTCTGATAGCAACGTTTCTGATAGTGCTGTGGGTCTGTATTGGCGATATGACGTCAAATCGGACGCAAATCTGGATCAGCTCCGTTGTAGCCCCGTTTTTAGAGATTTGGGTACGGAGGAACAGGGAGAGGGTTTTATTTTCTTACGCTGCGTGAGTTCCCTGACACACCGGAGACACATCTTTATGTATAAAAGACATCAAAAAGTGCATTTTGCATGATAGGTCCTTTAAGCCTCGTGTTACCTAGCATTAACTACTGCTGGTCATTGCCGGTTAAAGTGTTTTACTTTATGTACCATACACTGCCCTTTGCTAAACAAACAAAACTAAAAAGTACGAGGGATGATAAAACTTTAACAAATGTGTTAACTTTGGACATCTGGGTGTTACAAACGTGGAAGGGGATACAGATTGGAGAAACCCAACACAGCCAACTAAATGTTAATCTGTTATTATTCTTTTTTATTCCAAAATAGTCTTACATTACTGCTATAATCTCTCTCTCTCTCTCTCTCTCTCTCTCCCTCCCTCTCTCTCTCTCCCTCTGTCCCTCTGTCCCTGGGGCCCTTTTCCTTTCATCCTCACGCCAAAAGCAATCACCATCTCCGTGGTAACGGCTGGTCATGTGACCTGCACCTGTTCCTCTGGCTGGTCGCCACACGCTGGAGCCATCTGGACACACACACACACACACACACTCCTCCACTTGGCTGCCTTCTCCCCTCTCTTCCTCGGAGCGTCTTCATGGCCTCACTCTTCACTCCCTTCATCACCTCTAACTCTTTCTGCTCCGTCCTCTCTGCTGCTCTCCTCTCCAACAACATTTCCTCTATAACCATTTTAATAAATCTACCCGTGCCACAAAACATTCCAAACAACTTTAGGCACTGCTCCTGTGATGCTAACATTATCACTCCATGCTATTCATTCTGGAAAAAAAAATTGCAAATGTATCCACATTTTGTTACAATATACTGTTTATATAAAGGGGTTTACAGTACAGTCTCCTGAGAAGAAGAATGACAGTTGAGAGCACTTAGTACTTTCTAAGAATAAAACTCATGAATCAGAGTTGACCATAGCCAGGGGTGCACATCACTTTTTTAGTGAGTTACTCAGATGAGTACCAGGAGACAGCGTGTGGTACTCACCCCACACGAAGCGTGGTCCTCCTCAGTGTCTCCTTCACTGTCCTCGATTTACACTTCTTGCATGCTAGATGATGATGAAGATGCACCTCCCTGTCTCTCTTTAAGCCTCCGATTTGCTTTCTCCAAAACTTGTTGCCAAAACTGTGAAGTCCTTGCATTTCCTGAGGCCAAGTTGAAGGATCAAATACTAAGAACTGATCACATGACTTGAAGTCATATCTGATTTCAGAGGTGGGAAGTTACTTAGTACACTTATTCAAGTACTGTACTTAAGTACAATTTTGAGATATTTGTACTTTACTTGACTTTGATGCTACTGTGTACTTCTACTCCACTACAGCTCAGAGGTAACTGGTGTACTTTTCCTCCACTACATGTATTTAATACCTTTAGTTACTTCACAGATGTGAATGAATGATATGAAATCTAATCAAGTGTTAAATCAGACTTTAGTTCCACCTGGAGTAAATCCACAAGCTACCCTGCAGTATACAAAGCCATTACAACTAGCTGCACCTTTACCAGCTTTGAGAACACTTTCATGATCAATCATTATAAAACATATCAGATATATTATTCAAACTCTTCCATTAACAGCCTGAGTAAGTTTGCAACTGTGTGTTTTACTCCACTTTGTTGTAAATAAAACTGCAGCAGCTTGACCACAGAGCGTGAACGTTGTGATCAGCTGATTTTGCACAGGGCACAGAATGTGCACAGGGGAGTCTCCCACTGCAGCCAGTTGGCGGAGTTTTGGCACAATTCTGTTGTTCATACCGACATTAACCCTGTCTGTGCACACGGTGAACAACTCTGTCGTCCAGTGATCTAGGCCTCTGCCTCCTGTAAAGCTTCACAGGTCCGTCGGTTATGTCCTGCGCGACTCGGCCAGCACCCAGTACAATCAGTCAGAAGATTTTTTTGCAGGGAGCGAAACGGCAACGTAGCTGCATAATGTCTTTGGTTTTTTTGACATGTCTAGTAGTTTACTCCATTGAGTGTTGACAAGAAACACGTGTAGACGAATGATGTGTTTTGTTTTTGAGGTACGCAAACGCGCGTAGTGACACAAGTGACATTACGCAATTCAGATTTTTGCCGCGCATGCGTACCAGTTATGTGCACCCCTGACCATAGCGAATGTTGGTCTTGAAGGAGGAAACTAGCCAAGAATGGAAGATATGTATTTTAACTGAGCCAACAATTTCACAATCACAAGTTATAGGTGATATTTTAATGTTGTGTCCAAGTGGTAAAAACATCTGGTTATTGCAAGTTTGAGGAAAATATAGTTTGAATTTCTTAATGGGCATTTCATTTGCCTGTAAATAGTTGAGAGCCTTGTAACTCAGAATATCAGATAACTAATCATATATTTGCATTCATCAGCAGAATTCTCTGTTATTTTTTTAAATAGAGATGGTGCTTTGTTATCTTAAATGTATATTGTCCATCACATTCTAAGCAACCATGCTGGTTCTCATTCTGTACACCACTAGCCTGCTGTATACTTGTGGGCTTGTAGCCTGGCACACACACGTGCTGGCCAGCTGTGGTGTGTGTCAGTGTGTGAAGGGGGATAAAGGATAGACAGGAAGCAGAGCGGGGAAGTAAAATATGAGGCGGGAGAAGAAGAGAAAATGAAGAGGATGACCAAAAAAAAGGACAGGGAGGGGGGGACACCTGCTGCCGTGATGAGTCATACCACTGAACCCTAATGTACTCACTAACCCATGGCAACAACAGCACACACACACACTTTGTTTTTTTAAGAAGGGCTGTATTTGCACACGTCTGCCTGCATGTCTGACTTGTTTGTGTGTACTGCAAACAAATCAGACACACACCCACAGAGAGAGAGAGGGAAGGGTGTGGCGGCTGGGTTATTTATAGATGTACTTCCTCTGAGAGAGGTAGACGGGGAGGGAGTGCATCGAGGGAGCGTAGGAAAAGAGGGATGGAGCAAGGTCAAAGGAAAGGAGTGAGCTGACAGGACTAGTAAACCACATGATTCCCTCTGGATCACACACAAACTTAAAACCCTCTCTGAATCACAGTTTAGTCACATCCCTGTGAGGACCTCCAGTGTCAATCACAAACATCCATCAATCATGGAAAAGTCATCTTTATCATTTCAAATATGAAATATGTTTTGCTATGATTTCATGATGGTCCTATATCATCATATGAATGCATCATTCTACACCTGAAAACGGACCCTCTCCTTTATCCATTTATTTATAGACATTTCTGTGGTTGAAATCCTGTGTACATGAAGGCAACAAAATCATTTAATTTAGGAGTGTGTGTTTAACAACTGTAAAGAATCACTGACATGCAAGTTGATGGTACCTAAACTTTTTCTGAAAATGCAGAGCTAATACAACTTGTGGTGACATTGGCCCAAACTAAAGGAAGGGATACCTACAGGCCAACACACACCAGTGAACGCTTTAGTCTGCAGGTGTAAAATACAGTGAGTAGAAAGAACACACTGCAGTGTGGTGTGGCCCACATGAAAAACTCTACAGCTTTGGGGCTTATTTCTCCACCAACATCTCACACAAATCCCCCAAAAATGCAATGGAACATATGTATGTGCTAGTGGCCCCCCTAAGAGGACTTTCCCTATACAAAGTGAGACGTTTTAAAAGCTAATTGTATGGCCTAACCCTTTCAAATCAAGTCAGAAAAGTATATTATGACATTTGAACAAAAAACTATTTAGTAATAGCTTACTGCATTAAGAAATGATATGGCCTTGAAATTAAATAATGTCATTAAAAACCAAATCTCCACACAAACTCACTGTAAGACTTCTCTATGGGGATGAGCCATGACAAATTAAGATCCTTAACTTCATGAGGGCCACGCTGAACCCAATTAAATAATATGGAAACTTGATGAGCAAAAGACAACATGGGACAGCAGAAGAAAGAAAGAAACTCCTCATCCTCAACACATGGCATCATTCAGGAGAACAGAGGGAAGATTGGCAGAGGGGAAGCGATGAAAGGACACCCTCCTCTTCAGCAGGAAGAGGTGGTACTGGAGGGGGGAAAGGAAGAATAAAAGAAGAGATAGTTGGACCACCATTTTAGAGGACCAGTGAATGGCCAGCAGCCATTATTATGCTAAATTAACCTGGGAGCTCCAGGCCGCCACTCAAGATGGAGGAAAGCCTGACAACAGATAAGCGCCGGTTTACAAACACGCTCCCAGAAAGGGCCCGAGCGTGTCCTCCCCCACCCCCACATTTCCTCCCCTCGGTGGTGGTGTGGTCAGCGGCATGGCCTTCATTATCATTAGACGCCATTTTCTGCCACAAAGATTACTGCGAACCCCTCCCCCAACACACGCCTGCCCCCTCGCTGCTTCACCCACACTCACTCCAGGACCCCCCTATTCCCCACCTCTGACTCTTTTCCAGTGAGCAATGCATTCATACACACCTCCCCCAGCGCTGACCCCTGCCTGCTGCTTTGGCCCTCCCTCTTCCTCTGGATAAAAGGGGCCGAGAGGAAGGGGAGGGAGACTGAGGGCCGGGACAGAGAGATGGGGGCTGCCTGACACATTCCTCAGTGCGATCAAGTTTCTCACACACACACACACACACACAGTCCTGCACAACGTTCCACTTTTCATACAACACGTATATATATATTATTTTATTCTATTTTTACGAGAATTTTGTCACATACGGTACGTCGTTTTTTGGTATATCTATATATTCATGTAGATATTATCTGGCAGTGGCTCAGTCAGCAGGGGATTGGACTGTGAGCCGTAGGGTCGCCGGTTCAAGTCCCCGACCAGACCTAAAAATGGAGTGTGGACTGCTACTTGGAGAGGTCCCAGTTCACCTCCTGCCCTGCCGTGGTGCCCTTGAGCAAGGCACCGGACAACCCCCTTCCCCCCCCCACTCCCATTGCTCCCCGGGCGCTGTACAATAGCTGCCCACTGCTCCTAGTACTAGACTCCTGGTACTAGGATGGGTTAAAAGCAGAGAACACATTTCACTGTGTGTGCTGTGCATGTGTGACCATTACAGAGGGGTTCATCCCTCCCAATATTATATTGCCATATTTTTATGTTATAATACTTTTCTCAAAATACTTTTTATAATTACATTTTTGGTTCCTTTTGTTATAATTGATTTTCTTTGACTGTTTATGTATGCATCATAGTCACCAATATATTCACATCATATGTGTAAACATACTTATAAAGTAGGCAATAAACCTGTTTTCGATCTGATCACACAAGTTCAGGAAATAGAAGAGGTTGGACAAGTGTTGACCAAAAAGGAGAAGGGGGAGAGAAGTGAGGAGGAATGAGAAGAGGCAGTGATAAGCTCCGTGTAGACCGACTGAACCAAAGCACATATCGACACACAGCCATAAGTGCTAGAAGCTCCATAGTTAATCTATATCCTGCACAGGAAGTTTGATCCATTCACACTCCTTGGAAGGTGACATGCTAATGGTGCGTTCCAGTTGTACTGGGAACATCAGTTCCCAGTCAGACATTTCAACTGGAACGCACCCCGAGGTCGGACTTCCTGCGTGAAACTCGGAGATACCTCTCCATGCCAGAGATCAACATAGACAATGGAATCTCCACATTTGAACATTAAGAGAACACTTTGATAAAGTAACATGTTTAGCTCCTCTGTAAGCTTAAATTAAATGCCGTGTGTCACACTAAATCAACTGTACATGTGGTACTGCTCATCTTCTATCTGTAGATATCATTCTTAGGAAATAACACTGTCCTCTCATTAGGATGTCGTTTTCTCTGTAGTTGGAACTTACAAAAATGATATAGTCTACTTTGATAGAAAGATAATTATAAATGCCACCATGAAAACTAACAGAAAACTGCAGAAATGAGAAACCACAGAAATGCAACCAGAGCAGCAGAGATGAACAGAAGAAAATGAGGGACTAAGTATGTTTTCTTACAATGGCTGTTACACATCAAAAATGGTACCATTTGGCAAAAGCAGCTCTTACTGGGGAAAAAGCTGCAAATTGCAGGTTTGACTTCTGTATAATGATAACGTCTGGGGTATTGACTTCCTTTATTGGAGGAGTGGCATTACCAGGAGCTAACCACACAATGTTCTGCCTGAAGACGGTGTTTAATGCTACTCTCCACCTGTCGCTGATAAACAGTCATTTTAACCCTGATGTTCAGTCTCTATAGAAGAAATGATGGATCCTGAGATGTGTCTGTGCTCCATGCTTTACTAAGCCCTGTGATCACTAAGTGTGTGTTTTCAGTAGGAGTCATTAGGTTTCAGAAATTTAGAGTCAATTCATTTTCTTAATTTGGGATGCACTACATTTAAATAATTTCAAGTACTTATAGGTGGAAACCATAGAGCTACCCCTGTGTAGTTCATGCTGCTAAAAGGCTCTGTGCTGCATATCGCCCAACCAGGAAGCTGAGGAAGGTTTACTTCAGTCAGCTGGTAGAGTACAGATGTTTAGCTAGCTTTAGTTGAGTTGCTTCAGAAACAGCCCGACACACAATGCTGATGGAATGCTGCTCCTACCTGGTTTTCTTGGGGGTCTTTGTCTTGGGCGTGGAGATCTTGGTTTTCTTCTCCCTGGGCTCCTTAGGCTCCTTGGGCTCTTTGGGGGTCTTGGGTGTTTTGGGCGTCTTCGGGGTCTTGGGCTCTTTGTCCTCTTTTCCCTCTGCCTTCTCCTTTGGTTTCTTTTTGCGTTTCTTCTTCTCCTCCACCAGTGGTGAACTTCCCTCTACCTTTCCTGTGCCAGTAACCTGTTCACCCGCATCACTTCCTGCTCCGGGGAGTTCCGACTGTACGTCCTCCTCTCCTCCGGCTTCTCCCGTCGCTGCCTTCTTCTTCTTCCCTCCCTCTTCCTCCTGTCCATCCACTACTTTAGCTTTCTTCTTCCTTTTCTTTTTTGGCTTGGTCTCCTGGTCGCTGGGCTGCTCTGTGCTGATAGGCTGGCCGGGGGGGCCGCCACCGACTGTCGGCATTTCAGGAACCAGTGAGGGGTCGGTGGGGGAATGCTGAGAGAGCAGAAAGGGAGCAGTTACAGTTTTTCAGAAATCAAAATACCTTTTTTCGTGCCACATAGGGGACATTGAAATTGTTACAGCCAAAGAGGCGAGAAAAGAAAAATAATAATTAAGGGGCATTCATAAAACATTAAAATAGAAATGACACAATTTATGTTAGAAAAATATCACTCGTCACCGGCTTGAGCTTCAATAACAGGATACATGTATTTATTATCCTCTCAAGAACGGAAGTAGTTCCTGAACAGTGTCCTTCACATGCTGATATACAAGAGAGGGAGTCACAAGATGCAGAATACCGGTTCAAAGCAGTATTCAATGTTTAGTTCAGATTAGCTAAGACCTGCGTAAGCAATAAACATGACAGTCATATGTCTATCTCCATAGAGGCTGAATCATCATGTTAATCACATAGCTATCATATGCCTAAAACAGTGTGTCCTGACGCTCTTCTAGGTAATCATACATCCCGTTACGTACACAGCTACGTAGGGCCTTTGTTATCACGTGCTACTCTGATATTGGAAGAGTGCATTCAGTATTTTCACAACAATTTACAAAAAAGCCCATCCAGGTGGACAACACAAAGTAACAGTAAAACTATGTTGTATAAGTGTAGCATGTATAAAGTAGTGTGATAGCAGCCAGGTAACAGTAGTAAAAGTGGAAGTATATATTGCTTTATTATTTACAGATGTATTACAGTAGTTTCATTGTCTAACTAAGAGCATCTTTATAAAAAAAAAGCAGCATCTCAAATGTGAGAATCTTCTGCTTATTATAAGTTCATATCTTTGGGTCTTTTACTTGGGCCCGGGAAGTTGTGACGGACATCTTTCACTATAACCTTTTATATACTTACGATAAAGAGGATACATTTATTATGTATTTATCTTTTCATGTCTATTATTTTTGGGGTATTTAACTTTTTTTATTGATTTCTTTTTGTGCCATTTTCTATCATGTTATCTTTCCATGTATTAACTCTTTAGATTTAACCTAATGGAAAAAAATAGTTGACAAAAAAAACGTGAATATGTCTGTATAATGGAACTCAAATAAAAACGTAGTCTTAAGAGGATAACTAAGACAACTTAATAATCAAAGGAATCCTCATTTGCAGCCCCAATTTGGTTTTAAAAGCATATGAAAAACATAATTAGGGCAGCAACTAACAATTACGTTCATTGTCGATTAACCCAATGATATTCAAGTTACTGCCATAGAAGACTAAGAAAAGTATTATCATGACTCGCTGATTGATTTATTGACTAATCAATGTACGGCTTCAGCTCTAAGCTCAATCACATCTAATATGAATCAGTCTTAGTGAAATGTTTCTGCTAATATTTCACATCAACACTCGCCCTGCTGCCCTGTCAATACTGCAGTGTGGGGGTTGAATTTGTCAGTAATGGCAGATTACAGAGCAGGGGGGAAGCGCGGATCCGTCCGTCCGTCCGTCCATCCATCCATGGCTACCACCTCCTCCCTCTCTCCTTGACTCCCTGTTGCTTCATTTCCCTCCCCCGTCCTGCAAGCTAACCTTGGTAAACAAACCGGCTGACGCCTCATTTTTCCTCCTGCAGACTAAATCCTCTCCTCTTCCTCCTCCTTCTCCTCATTGCTCCCCAGTCCGCTCTGTGACAGGCAACTGGTTACCAGCTGTTGGGAGCCTCTACAGCTGCCTCCCCTCCCTCACGCTCTCTTCCATCCCTCCTTGCCTCCCTCCCTCTTTCTAGCTCTCCAGCTGCTCAGGGTCCCAGTAGCAGATGGGAAATCAGGCATCATGACACGAATAAATTATCTGCATACTTCAAAAAGGCGCAGCGAGGGAGTATGCCTGTGTGTGCATGTGAAACGTACATGTGCATTTTTGCGTGTGTCTACTAGGTGTGTGTGTGTGTGAGCATCAGCAAGTTTACAGCAAAATGCCACGGCAGCAGCTCCCTTCCACACACACACACTTGTTTTCACATGGAGGAGAAGAGTTGGGGTGCCATCACTGAAAGTCCACTTCCATCAGGGGCACACTAATGTACACACACACAAAACACACATTTCACACCAAACTACTGCAAGGTCACACAAACCTCTGCACACAAACACCTGCTGACACACGTAAACCGAGCCACTTAGACACACAAATAGGGTGAGGAGAGGGAGAGGGGGGAGATAACTAGGTGAGAGAGACAATCACAGAGAGTGAGAGAGAGATGGGGGGGGGAAATGCACTGCCAAGAGATAAATCTGTCCTCCTGCCAAGCTTCCCAGATAATCAATCACATGAATGACAATGGAGTAGGGCTGTACCCGAATATCCGAATATTCGTTCGTTGGAGTAAATTGAATCTATTGAAATCTCCAATATCAACGTAAGAGCTTGTGCCTCTTCGGGGGGTGCTAACCCTTAACCATAAACTTTATCCTTTACTTTCTCCATCTTTATATGTAGATATGACTTTTCTCCGTTAATCTCCGTCACGTTGTTTCCATAGCAACGTGACAATTTCCTGTCAACAGCGCTAACTCTCCTTCAAAATAAAAGCATGTCCATACAAAACAGGAAGCCAAGCCAAATTACACATATACAACTGCAACGAAAGTAACAAACACAATGTAATATCCTTTTCAATTTCAAAGAACCCAAATTGGGTTATATACATTAACAAATAACTATAAAACAACAATACTGTAGAATAACAAAATGAATGCCGTGAATAAAACCGAAATGCACGCTGCTGATTACTACCGAATATCCGGAGCCCGGAAAATGGAGAGATTCAGCTAGCTTTAAACCCACTGTTCCTATACTGAAACACCAGTGACTTCCAGAACAGGTTGGAATAATATCCCCATTAACCAGTGATGGAAGAAGTACTCAGATCCTTTACTTAAGTAAAAGTACAAATCCTATGCTCTTAAAATACTCCACTACAATTTGTAGTCCTGATTTCAAAATGAAGTAAAAGCACAAAACTATTAGCATCAAAGTGTACTTAAAGTGCAGAAAGTGCTCATTTTGCACAAGAAGTTATTTCAGAAAAATATAGAGTACAGAATCTAAATGTACCTAAGTAAGTATTAACGGTAATAGTCCTCATGCAAAATGAATCTTTCACAGTATATTATTTGTATTATATTATCCAGTTTTTATGAATATAAGAGCATTTTAATGTTAAGGTTTTTCAGTGTTGACAAAATCATACTTGAAAAACTGTGTAGATTAGCAGTACAGTACTGCATTACACTATATAAGCATATCATGTGTTTTCATATGCACAATGTAACTGAGTGTTCAAATAAATCTATACAGTAAAAAGTACAATATTTTTCCTCTGAAAGGTAGTGAAGTTTTAAGTTGCATTAGATGAAAGCACTCAAGTCAAAATTTGTCAAACTAGTACTTAAATACAATACTTGAGTTGATATAATTTCCACCGCTTGCTTTCCACCACTGCCCATAACTGAGTGTAATAAAAAGATCTTTAAAGACCTCCATGAGTCACTCCCATCAACAGAACGGGCTCAGATGAGATGAGCAGTGTTGAGTTTCATCTCTCACTGGACAGTGGGAGAGGGTGTGAAGAGGAAGGTAAGGAAGCTGAAGGAGAGAGGGGGGGGGGGGGGGGGGGGGGGCAGAGAAATAGTGAGGTGCAGGGGTTAAATGTACTAGGCGGAAACACTTAAGACTCCCAAAGGATGGAGTGAAAGGAAATATGGTGCTCATCGTTCAGCCTCTCCCCTCACTCTACATCTATCCATCAGTCCATCCATCCATCCACCCTCCACCTATCAGTGATTGACATCTTCACACCGTCTCCCAGCATGCAGCAGGTATTTATCAAAATAAAGGAACATCCAACAAAACTAGCCCTATTCACTTGGCATTCAACTCTGTTCTGCCACTTCCTTTTCTGTACACACGCTGGTTTGTGACCCATGAAAAAGCACTAATTCTCTCAGGTGGTCCCTTGAGGATCTTTATTTAAAACTGTCATTATTCTGCCAACTCAAATTGTATTCAATGTTTACATGTTGAGAGTTTGATACACTGTCAAACACACTACCATTATGTACACTGCCTTCCATTCTGTGTATTTATATTTTGTATTCAATAGATATACATCATTCACTTTGATGGATATACATATATATATATATATATATATATATATATAAACACATTAAAGCACAATCAGCTACCAGACTTAAAGGGAAGGTGAAGAATTCATCAATTGCTGGGATCATTCTGAATTTTGAGAATGTGAACACTGGTTTGTGTTTCTCATTGATATAACATCCAGGTACCATCACAGTGTGCACAGAAGGAAGCACTTCCTCCCTGTTCAGACTCTGCAACAGCAGCGCGTCTCTTCAAATGGTGTAACAGTTTCCAATAAAAATCACTCAACCATTGAACCCAGGATGAATCAGCTCACAGAGAAGTAGCTCAGCAAGGTGACCACAGCAGAGCTCTTATTATCTGTCCTCACAGGATGATTAAGTGTGTCACCGCTCAGGACCAGAGTGCACCCAAACTCATCTGCTGTGGCTCTCTATAGCTGATCTTTACTTCATTTGCCATCAGCTGCCTTTGGTTCTGAGCTGTCTCATGACACCTCAAAGTTTCTATACATCTGTTCTTACGGCCCGTCCACACAGCAGCGTTAAAAAAAAATCTTCCAACGCTTCTGCCCATTCACTTTGAATGGGGTGACGTCACTTTGCCTCACTTTTCGCCGAACTGCATTGTGGGAAGCAAAGCGGAGATTTCCAGGCATCTCAGGCTTCAAAAGTTGAGCAATGTTCAACTTTTGAAGGTGAGGTGGAAGCATCAGCCAATCAAATCCCGTTTATACAAATCTGACAGTACAAGTGCTAGCCAATCAAACTGCGTGTATGCTGGGAGAGATATACCGCAGGTCATTTCCTCATATTCCAAAACATGGAGGAGAAATTAGCGGTAGGGAATCACCCGGTGCTTTATGACCAGTCCCTATTTACCTACCGGGATACAAACCGGAGGAGCCAGGCATGGAGGGAGGTGGCAGAGACAGTGGTAGGTTTTCGCCTGTTTGGGGAGTATATATCCAGTTTACTTCGGGCTTTTTTGCTTCGTATGTCGGGGGCGGGAGATTCATGTGATTGGTTGTTGGTCGCAAAAAATCCCCAAGCTTCAGATACGCCCACCTCCAAGATTTCTTTAACGCTGCTGTGTGGACGTACCGTTAGAGTTCAACTTGAGAACAACAGAGCTTGAAAGGTGTAAAACGCAAATAAGTTGCCCTAGTTTGTTGACTCTTTAAGGGCGTTCACTATCTAACTACCGTACCACCCAACTAACATGTAGTTCGGATGAAATGTATGAAAGAAACCAAGCATTCTGTTGTGATATCTGCTAGAGAAACGAGAGAGACTAAACATTAGAGAAGCATTTCCCTCGAAGCCGGGTGAGCTGGATGGTATGGCAGCTCTGACAGCATGCATGAGCGGGGGAGGGGCGAGACAGGCATGTTATATGTCAACTAAAGTGCTGCACGCAACGCTGTGTGTGTGTATGTGTGTGTGCGAGTGAGATGTAGAATAAAGGTCACAGCGCTGCACTCTGCCAGAGTTGTGACCTTGAGCTGCTGACAGAGGCACGTGTGTGTATACGTGTGCGTGTATACGCGTGTGTGTGTGTGATAACCATGCTTAGTGAACAGATGGAGCTTAGAGTAACAGACATACAGTCATTATGACCGACTGACCAGCTTGGTGTGTGTAGCTCTTTCTAACAAGTGCATCATGAGGCACACAGAACTCCCTTCCTGTGACACACACACACACTAGGCTATCCTATCCTATTTCCCCAGGCCATATTTGCCATCCCATTCTAAACTGCACCATCCCAAGCCACACTGTTGGGGTGTATGCGTGTGTGATGACGGGGGCTGCGGGGCCTGCAGCGAGAGTCAGGACGGTGAATGCAGCTCGCCCAGGCGCAGCGCAGAGCTCACCAGCCAACCTGGCATCTAGGTCAGGAGTGCTGGATAAATTAAGAGTGACGGCTGAAATGTCAACCACAAAACCGAGTCTTGAAGGGGGGATGTAGTGAGAGAAAAGCTAGGGGTAGTGGGAACAACAATGGAGGAAATAGAGGGTCTTGATCTCTGTGTGTGGATGTGTGTGTGTGTGTGTGTGTGTGTGTGTGTGTGTGTGTGTGTGTGTGTGTGTGTGTGTGTGTGTGTGTGTGTGTGTGTGCGCATAGGGCTGCTATTGTGTGTGAATGGGTCAGTGGAGAAAGGGGGCTTTGAGCAACAAAAAAGCTAATGGAAGCTGGGGGGGGCACGTGACAGGCAGTGGCGGCGGTGCACACTCAAACAAACATGGAGTTTGCCATTGAGAACTGCTAACCTCTTTCTCTCTCTCCCCCCCCCCCCCCCTGCTTTGCTAGAGATCTCCCTCTCGAGATCTTTGCTTGTTTTCCCACTTCTTTCCTCTTGGTGTTTCACCCCTCCCCCAATATCTTAATCACCCCCCAGCTTTTTCTTCCTTCCTCTCCACCTCCCTTTTTGTCCAAACTGTCTGTCTCTCTGCACATCCGGCTACACAACATTAACTAAGAGATGACAACCCTGAAATAGATAAAACAAACAGTGGGACACAGAGAGACAGGCAGAGAGAGAGAGACACAGATAGAGAGAGAGGGAGAGCGGAAAGAGAGGAGACGGGGAAGAGAGACAGGAAGGGAGGTTTTCTCTATAGAGGAGGGGGAGATGTGGGAGCAAACGGGAGGAGAGATTATGCTGGTGGCGCCTGTGTGTGTGTGTGTGTGTGTGTGGCACACATCTCAGGATATGCAGCACACAGGAAACAAACAGCTGCAAAAATCCATTTCCACACACAACCACACACACACAACCCGGCAGTAGAGGACACAAAGGGCAAAACACACACACAACCCTACTGAACCAGCGCGCAGCACCGCTGTGTTTTCAAATGTCATGTGCACACAGACATTTACGGACACTCACACACACTTCCCTTACACTCCAAACACACACTTTCCCCACCCACATGAAAAATAAACACTTTGAGGAAATACACCCACACATAAAAAGAAATGCACAGCCTGGATCTCTTTCGTACACACACACCAAAGTGTTTGTCTGACGGAGACTCACCTGTACGTGAGGCACTTTCTGTGGGGTGTGAGGGGGTGATGAGAGCGGGTGGGAGGCGGGAGGCACCCATGGGTGGGAGGCCGTGTTGGTTGCAGGAGGTGTGCTCTGCAGGTGGTGTGGCATGTGTGTGGGCTGGGTCTGAGCGTTCTGGGTGGGTGGTGCCAAGCCCTGGTTTAGGGCCGGAACTCCATGCGGGCCCATGGAAGGGGCCTGCAGGGGCTGCCCGCTGCGAGGGGGCTGCTGCGGGGTCTGGAGCAAACGCTGGTCCCCCCCCCTGGCTGACTGGAGCTTCATGTGGCCCTGGAGGGAGAGACAGGGAGAGGAGTAGAGTATTCATTCTGACTTTGAATAAATAATGCCAACAACAACGGGTTTTCCCTCCTGTCAATTACCAAGGCATAAAAATAGATCACACACTTCCCTATTTTTTCCCTCCCGGTATTTCAATCACCAAAATAGCAGTTGTAGAAAAAAACTGTAATAGAAACACTAGCTGGCTGTGGTAAATCAGTTTTTAATAAGGAATAAAAACAAAGTAAAACATACATTTATACTATGTTTTTAAGAAGCATTGAAATAACAACAATAGACACTTCAGTTCAACTACAACTTTCATCAAATTGGCAGAGGGCATAACAGTATCTTTTGTATTAAATACATGAACATTACAGGTTTACAGACAACATCAAGCTTCTGACTTACTACAATAGTAACCATGTGTGAGTCTAGAGGTAATGTAGAGGATGAACATTAGCTGAACTGTTTTACAACTGTGGTACATCATCTTCAATGTGTACCGTTTCTACAAATGAGAAAGTTGCCCTCAAATATTTCTGGAGATGCTGTTTTAAAATGTCTAAAATGGAAGTGAATAATTTGAATGAATGCAAATACAGTGACCTAAAGTAACACCACTATATAAACATGTGACATCATCAGCTGCCCTGTGCTTACCTTGCTGGAGCTGAGGCATATTTGGCCCTATTTGAGGACCACGCTGCGGCCCCATGCCAGGATACATTTGCCCAGCATTGGGGGGCATGTTGTGGGGCTGCTGGTGTTGGGGGTGTGGAGTAGACAGAGGGATTTGGGGAGTCCTCTGGGTCAAAGCGTTGGGTGTAGGCTGCAGGGCTGTGTAGCCTGAAGTCTCTGGGGGTGCGGCTAGTCCTGCGCTAGGGGGCCTGCCTTGTTGGGGAGGTGGTGTCGGGGTCCCCAAAACCCTCATGGGGGACATGGATGAAGGGGAGGAGTAAGATCCCTGAGCTGGGGGGGCAAGGTGGGGCTGGTTTTGGGCCTGGGGAAGATTCTGGGGGTGCATAGGCTGCCCCTGCTGCCCTGGCTGCTGCATCTGGGCAGAGAGGGCCTGATGGGGCTGGGGTTGGTGTGCTGGTGCGGGGGGGTATCGCTGCCCTGGTTGGCCAGCTGCTGGGACTGATCCCTGGGTAAACCTCTGACCGAGCTGCCCTGGTCCCATGGCCTGGCTGGTGTTAGCATTGACATTAGCACCCTGACCCATCCCGGGTCCCATGGCTCCGTACTGTGCCTGATAGCCGGGGTACTGGCCGCCCCCAAACCCTGCCATACCTGGCTGGTGCTGGTGTGAAGGCTGTCGGGAGGGGGAGTGTGGGAACCGGGATGTGTGGCCCATGTTGGGATAGCCCTGGGGTTGTGACTGGGGCTGGGGATGACGCATCTGGGCCCCCCCCATTCCAACATGTCCCAGGTAGTGTGCTGGGTCCTGAGCGGTGGGTTGTGCCATGCTCTGTGGGGGATTTGCCATGCCCTGTGAAGGGTAGTGTTGGTTCATGCGAGCTGCATTTGGTGTGGGGGGGGCCTTGCATCCCACCATAGTTGCCTTGAGACATCTGGTAGCCCCCCAGCTGATTGGGGCCAGCCCCAGGTTGTGCAGGAGGCTGCTGATAGGCTGATCTGCTCGTTGGCGGCTGCTGCTGCTGCTGGCCCCAGACAGCAGCCCCACTCCCTCCTGCAGCATCACCCGGGTACCCATGGTGGCTGCTGCCAGAGTTAGCTGGGTTATTATGGTAGTGGGAAGCCAAGCCATTCATTGCCGTGTTCACGTTAGGTGGCCCCTGGCTTGGACCGTTCGGGGACATCATTCGTCCTGCGGCGGCGGCACCAGGTTGATCGTAGCCCGTGTAGGGGCCATGGTCATACATTTGTCCCAGTTTAGGCTGCCCTGGTCCGGGCCCGCCACTGTGGATCATCCCTTGGTGGTAGCCCCTGTTTCCCTGGTGCTCATGGTTCAGAGAGGGATTATTTTGCTGGGCTAAAGGGTTGGATTGCGCAGGGGCCGGCTGCTGAGGAAAGCAGTCTCCTAAACCGTCTAATCCATCAGAGAACAACCCTGCATCGTCCCCAAACAAACTCAACATCCCCGGGTCCGCCATGGCTGTGAGGGGGGGCCAACAGATGGAGGGAGTTGTGCTGTGCAGTGATGAGCTAATCAGCTAGCTGCTAATATGAAGCTTGCTATTCCATGGTCCTAGTTCCTGGAGAGAAGAAAGAAAGACAACGTTGGAATTAGTGCACAAGACCAAATACTCAAGGCTCAAAGTAAAAGCTAAATTGAACAATGAAGGACTCCAAATACAGGCCTCAATGATTTTTCCACAATTGTATTCCCCAAAGCACTTAACCCTTTCTTGATAGTCACACAAACTTTAGTTTCCACATTCATAAAGCAGTGCAGAGCTGCGATGGAATCACTTTTCTTTTGCAAATGTATCAGTTGTAGCCATTCATGAAAAAGACATGCATCCATTGAATAATAAGTCACATTAGGCACTTTCACACCAAGTACTTTTCCCAGGAATAGTTCCCGGAACTTTTCCCCAGAACTTTTATTTCTTGGAACTATCTAGTAAATCGCGTTCACACTGGAATAAGTCCCTGAGGGAGCTGCTGACGTCACTTCTTCTTCGGCTTTGGGTTTACTGGCAGGCCGCATACAACTTCACGTCGTATACTGCCACCTGAAGTCCCCGGCCGGAAGTCCCCGGAGTTGGGGACTGGCTTCAGCAGAAGCTGTAAATCGCCAGAAGCGCCGACACCTCCTCATCACTCCACCGCTCCCATGTTTTCTTTTGTGTTGCCATAAGTTAGTCTCTCTCCGTTTGTGCGCTGGGCTAATGCTAATAATGCTAATAATGCAAGCAAATAAAATGGCGGCCTCACAAAAACTTCTTTTGAGTTTTACGGGGCGTGGTTCGCAATTCGCCCAGCCTATCAGAAATTGGAACCTTTTTCTCCCCAGGAAAGTCCCTGGACGCATAATCCCAGGAACTATCGGAACTATTCCTGGGAAAAGTACTCCGGTGTGAAAGCGCCTATTCACACACACTTCCCATTAGCACTGCCCTAAAACCCTCCCCCACCTCAATTTTACTACCAAACAAAAGAACTTACTTATTTTCAACCACACACTTGGAGTCATTGAGAGTGTGTGTGTGTGTGTGTGTGTGTGTGTGTGTGTGTGTGTTAGAACAAAGGGCCCAGCAGATGCAACTCTGTTTGAACAGCAGCAGCTGCCATCCAGCCAACAGGACTTCAGAGTGCACCAGGCAGGCGGCAGCTACTCAAGCCATTCAGCTGGCTAACTAACCAGATGTGTGGAGACAAGGGAGTTAGCCACCTGCTACTTTTCTAGCCTCTGTGTGTGTTCAACTCTCCAAGTATACGGTCAATAAACATGCATTAAACCAGTTTACTTTTCTAATAGTCATATTTGGGTAAAAAAACAAAAAAACATAGGGTGTGTAAAGGGGTGATAAACATCAGAAGGACTGTGCAGCCTGAATGAGTGGTGGGTGGAGGTAGGTGGGTCTTAGCACACATGAACGAGTGTGTGTAGGCATTATGTCAGCGACCAGGATGGGGAGGATTTTTCTTTCAGTGCATAGAAGCAACCAACAAAACAAAAAAACACCCAAGCTAACTTTGGCCGAGTTCTCCTCCCCCCTCACCTCATTTGTTTTTCCACTACATCCCTCCCACTCCTTTTCCCTCAATTTAAAAAAAATCTACCTTGCTCTCCGAATCAATCCAGAAAACTAAAACGTGTCAGGACTTTATCTCATGTGTAACGGTACAGAAAAAGAAAGTTAAACAGATTTTTTTTTTTAATCCATTTAGTAGCCACTGATCAGAGTATCATTTTTGAATAGACAAAAAGTTCTTTAACCTTTTCAGTAACAAATAGTATAGACTGTAATTATATAGTGCCTTACTGCCTTTTTTTGGACTTAGCATAAACATTCAACAATACATCCGTACACTGGAGAGAGAGGCTTCAATACAAGTTGCCACCTGCTCATCAGGAGCAGTAAACATTCACAAATACATACACTGAATATTTCCCAAAGACACTTCATTATGTAGGAGCCATAGACCACCACATTGGCCTGATGAGGGGATGACTGCTATACTTCTAGACATTTGCATGACACAGGGATACAGGAACACAGTCTTCCTTCAGGCTTTTGGACCTTCTGCCTCCACAATGGCTGATGGGAGCATCTACTCTTGTTGTGTAAATAGCAATTAACACCCCCTACATCCATGTCTCTATGAGCCATAAATAGTCTGTCAACAAAAAAGACAGGTGCTCAAATTATTGTGGTCACAAACAGACAGGGCATGCAAAGAGATACCATACAAGATCTTAAAGCTTCAAGAGGGCCTCTCAGGTACTGTCCGTTTAAGTGGTGATTCTATAAATATAGGTAATGTGATGTAACCACTGTGTGCTAATTTCATTTCAAACCTTTATTTATCCAGGTGTATCCCATTGAGATCATTGATCTCTTTTTCAAGGGAGACCTGTTCAAGTAGGTTCCACATGAAACATTAAAAACATAAACAGAACAACAAAAAGGACATCATACAGCATCATTACAGGGATTACAATTTACATAACTATCCACATGAACATGTACCAACAGCTTCCGATTGAGTAGCATCCAACCGAGCTTTAAAAACATTTAGTGGCACCAGATTGCTCAGTTTCCATTTCAATTGCAGACTATTCCAGGACCCAGTAAAGCCAACATAACAAGAAAGTACAACATGTTGTGTTTTAAAATCATCAAAACACAACATTTTGACTAACGGCAATATGAGAGAAACTTGTGTTCATATATATTAACCAGTTAAGCCTCAAGCCATCCATCTATAGCACACGTACCCCCCACCTACACAACAGCCCATGCACCATCACCCCCACCTATACACAGCAGCCAGACCCACTGTCTTGGAAGACGGACAAAGACACTGTCTTTACATTTATAATGAATAGTTGGTTGAAAGTTCTGATGTTCAATATTGTAAATAGTGAGATTTTCCAGTTTCTTATATTTATATAAATAGTTGGTTGAATAAAACATATTTATAATAAATTGTTGGTTGAAAAAAAGTTTGAATGCTCAATTTGTATTTGTACACATCACATGAACCGTGGTATGTAATATGAAGTCATTATTCAGTCCTAATGTATCTCAGTCCCTGCTGTGGTGAAAGTAGAGTGATAAACACCTATTTTACTCAAAATTCGAATTTAATTTGTTTCATTTTAGACATGAATTACACATTTATATACAGTGTAATTCAAATATTCCACTACTTTTGTGATCCTAAGACTTTGGTAACCAAATCTAAAACACCAAGAAAATTGGATGAAGAGTAAATTTGTGTTTTCACAAGAGTTTTGAAGATTTTCCGAAAATCGGATGTCAAATGTTAAGCTTTAGAGCTACTTATCTCATCACAGTGCTCCAAGGTGAGTAATTTGCATTTATAGCAAGACCAGAGATTGTCTGTTTGATATGTAACACATGGGGTGCCATGTTATAAGTACATTTACAAAGGTGATTTAAGGAAACATCTAAAAATCGAGAAAATACCCTTAGACTCCAGAGGGTTAATGCAACCGTCAACACCAAATGCAACTCAGAAACAAAGGATAAACCTGTTAAATGTTATTCCAGAATAAATGGAGAAAATGTTGGCCTTATAAATGAAATCGTATAAAGTTTCTGTCATCGCTGTTGACCTGACAGTCTGATAAGTGCAGCATTCTCCTTCTCTTTAATCTCTGGATAGGGTTTGGTTCCAGCAACGTTTGTTTGTAGGGTAATAAAAACATCATAGAAGATCTTCAATTTATATTGCCCATAGTGCAAACTTACATCTCATAACAGACAAAAGCCGCAAAGTTAAACCGAAAAGCTGAATATTGTCACACCTGGACACCAAAGATCTCAAAGCTAACGGACTGTACAAAGTCAAATCCGTGCGGCAGCTGTTGCCATTACAGAACATGTGTTGTGTGATACTAGATCAGTGTTGTAAGCAGCAGCACTGTAGAGTTACATCACTTCCTGTGCATTTCAATCACTACAGGAAGATGAAAAAAAAGTTCCTGCATGTGAGCGTGTGTGGCAGGTGAGAGTTATTGAGTGTAATTTCACATCCTTTGCAGCAAGTTACAACACAGGCCACTGATTTCCTGTCAACTCAGAGAGAGGCACACTACATTAAACGGTGAATTTTACAATGCAGAATGAAATTAGCGGTACAAGCACTTTCTGTGTACTCTGTTTCTGTAGCAGTCATCATCTGATCAGAGGTGGAGTTAAGACACGAAAGGCAAGAGATTCTTTCCTCCACCTGTGTTCCTTTGCATTGCGTATGGCCTTTAACCAGTTGAGCCCCGAGCCTGTTTTTCAGGCCTCAGGCTCGAAAATGATATTCCCAGAACAATTTACTATATCTTCACTTCTAAAAGGGGTAAATTAATAATCTTTTTTCTCAAAGCAATGATAAACCTGTGAGTTGGATGTAGAAAAGTCAGAATCAATATAGATTGTTTTTATTTTAAAGTAAATTCAGATTGAACATAGTAAAGAAAGTAAATTAGTGTCCGTCCAAAAAACAACAACATTACTTATAGTGAAAACCACCCTTGAATGATGGGATAGTAGACTAAAAGCTTTAGGAATCCAAACTATAACATAATAAGTACCGTGTATCAAGATTGATGCAAAACAAGTGACATTTGACCTTTTTAGAGATTTAGAAGAAGAAAAAAAACACTTCTGGGGTAATTTGGGTGTATGTGCCATATCTCTGGCCCCCCTCGGTCGATTTTGATGATTGACACCTCTTTTGAACCGTTAGAGCCAATAGAATCGAGGGGAACTTCCTAAATCCATCTAAACATTTCCATTGAGGAGTGAGAGTGATGCACACGCAGTTTGCCCAAAACCGGAAGCTGGGTTGTAGCTCTAATAGCAGCTAATATGAAATCTCAGTTTTTGACAAAAATGGAATGATGGATTATCACTAGGGTTGGGAACCGAAACTCGGTTCCAGATGAGAACCGATAAGAAAATGCCGGGTACCCATACAAAATACACAATTTCGGTTCTGCTTAACGGTTCCTAAACGCGGTAGACCCTGTATTCCACCGGGTCCGTCTGCGCTGCGGTGACCC